ATAAGTAGGTATTTACAAAAAAAAGTATATATGTATTTATATCTGTTGTCTAGTACCCATAGAACAAGCTCTGCTTAGTTTGGGACTAGATGGCGTTGTGTGAATGTGGTAGATTAAAAAAATTATATATATATATATATATATATATTTATATATACAAAATTTACACTTTTAATTATATTTTGGCATATCAATGTAAATTGTAAACTATTCCATTTAGGTTACTGAAAATCCATAATACTGCAATTTATTTTATTCCTATTAATACCTATAACTACTACTCAGAGCCATTTCACCATAAATTGTTAATAAATTAGTTCTTATTGGAATCTAATAAAATGTTCTAAGGTTTAGTGTTACAAAAACCTCGAAGGGGCAATCTATAGGTGCTATCGTTTTAAAGCACAGTAGTTGTCAACGTTGTCAACATATCGTCCGTCCCGTCCATAGTTTTCATATGCATGCAAAATTTGCTCATCTTGATGACAATTTTCTTGGCATTTAACGGTTTTGCAGTTCAGGCTTAAACTAGAAAATTACACTATGGCTTATTTCCCTTTGACTGTGTAAGAAATAAATCGTTAACCAATGAAGTTTCGAAGCGCTATTTGTCATAGCAAAGCAAGCAATATAATCTGTTACGAAAAAAGTTCATATGGAGCTTACCTACAAATTAATACCCGTAGATCAGAACAATAAATGTTATAGAATGATATTTAATTATTTTATCAAGTTTTAGAATTAGAAACCCATTATAGCGATATAAACTTACCTATAATAAATAAAACAAAGACGATACGAATCATAAGTTTTTTCTAAAACGGTTCTGATCTTGAAACTCCCCTTAACGATGTTGTATGCTTTCGATGTGTACAGAAGAAATAACAATGCAATTGTTTTTGTCAGAATTGTTTTAATGTTAGTTTCTGTGAACTCTCCAGAGTGTATTGTCAATGTTACCACGCTACCAATGGATGTTTAGTAAACTTTTCCAGTACTTACTCGCAGCTGGGCAATACACACACACAGAATAATAAAACAGCAATACTGTGTGTTCGTAGCTTAATGTTACATGCACCTTACGAGTACCTTACCTTCGTACAATAATTTCTAACAGTTAACTCGGAACCCGGTTCGATTGAAAGGATTTAATGAGAACTTTTAAATTGCAATATCAAGATGTGCCAATCACCATTACAACAATTTATAACAACAAATAATTAAAAAATGAGCAATAAAGTGAAAACAAAAAGTCCGTATATACATGTAAATAAAATTGAAGTGTCTGTTTGTAACTTCAAAATAATTGGTTCTTATCATGCTCGCACGGTTATTTGCACTATGCCTATAAACCGGTTTAAATATTTTTTGTCTGTCTATTTGTTAAAACTAATCCTCAAAACGGCTGGACTGATTTTGATAATACTTTACTACCAGCTAACTTAGGCTATTTTTAAAATTATCTTTTTTTATATTATCTATTTTCAAATAATCTACTTCTTATGTTTGAGACGTAATTTAGGCTATTTTTCCTCTCAGGAAAACTCTATAAAATTTTACTCTGTCCAGGAATAGAACTCAAGGCCTCATGGACTGCACTCGCGTACCGTACTACACCACTAAGGCAGCACTTTTCAAATTCCACGCTAACGAAGTCGCGGATACCAGCTAGTTTTACAACAAAACAAATTTTTTCTCTACTATAATATGCATGTATTATACATATAAACCTTCCTCTTGAAATACTTTTCCTAATGGTGAAAACGGCATTAAAATCAGTTGCTTAGTTTAAATGATCTAAGCGTACAATGAAAAAACAGAGACTTTATTTTACACTATGTAAAGATGTCATGAGCGTCTTAAATATACCTATCCTTCTACGATAGGTCACTTAATAACTTTCAAGCGATTTAATACAAATATTTTCAAATACGAACAGGTTGACCTTTTCTTGCTATTTGCCTTGATTTTATTCAAATAGGTGCAATGCTTACAAAAATAAAACATAAAACATTGATAGATATTTATATCTGAAAAAGAGGAAGTTATATTCCTATTTCTATTTAATGGTGTAAGCGAAATTGTTTTTTAAATTATGAGCAGTAAAATTTTATATATATATATATATTATTATATATAATAATTTATTAAGCACGGTAGGACTTGAATGTATAGAGTACCGTAAGTGTACCTATGTGTTTCCCTATTTCAACGTTGTTTAAGGTTACATAACAGTCTACTGACTAGTTTTTTTTAAATATGTAGATACATTTTTCTACATTCCATATTGGTATTGGTTGTGGGTTCTGATTTCCGCATATAGATTCGAGAGTGGTCCTTTCTGTGTCTAAAAGAGGTTGGCTAGGTGAGCCAACCAAGCTCCTTCCAGAAGCGCATAAGCCTCCTGGGGCGTTCACAGGGTTCTACGAGCGATTTTGTACCAGGTATGGTACTTATGTAGCCACCGTTGTGTGGCCACTCCCTCTCATTCTAGGATCACGTGGGTGGCCGTTTCTTCTGCTTTCAGGCATTCTCTGCAAAGAGGATTGTTAAGAGTTAGGTGTCCTGTTATGGTTCCTACAACTAGTCGGATATCTAGTCTGCTAAGATTGATAAGTTTGCAAGTAAGTCGTAGTGAGACTTCAGTCAGCACCGTGAATTTTTCCACCGTCGTTTGTGCGCTTCATGAGTACGCTCTCTAGCCTAGGATCGAAGTTGGTTAAAAAACAGTGGCAGGAGTGTGGTGGGGCGGCAGCGGGGTTCATTCCTGTGTGAATTACTGTGCCGTTTAATCCATTGGAGGAGTACCCCATTTGTTGTGGCAAGCTGCTCCAATGCTTAATGGCTAATGTTTAATGACATTCGAAGACAATACCAGAGGTCATTGTGTTGCCCTCCAGTGCCTTTAGGACGGCCATGCTGTCTAACTGTTTACGGATGTTGTAGTCCTTAATACCCTTTGGCATGACCGTTGTGGTGGCGTAAGTTATTACCACACATTCGCATTGGAATATGGAACTGTGTTGGCCTAACGCTAGTGATATGTTCATGTTTAGGTCTTGTGAGTAAACTCCGGCTCCAGTTCCTCACACATTCTTAGAACCGTCCGTGTAAATTCGGACTTCTTTTATCTCAGATTGATCTAGATCATTTTCTTGTTTCAGAATGTGGTATCTTCTTGTGAAAATACGGTGTTTTGGGATCCTGTCGCATGGGGCTGCTAATAGTGTTTCATATTCCACTAATTGGTCCCATAGCTTGGAGTTTCCTCGCCCTTGTGCCACAGACCCAGGTATCTGAGTCTAATGATCGCCATGGCTGCCTCCTGCTGTATAAACAAGTTCTGTGGGGGCAGACCAATAGCCACCTCTAGTACGACAATTGGCGTTGTGCGCATACAGCCAGTGACTGCAGAGCATGGGAGTCGCTGGAATTGCTGCAATATATTTATGACGGTGCTTAGCTCTGTTCTCCATCAGCTTTGGTGATAGTCTCCGCGCGTAGTAGCCGAGTAGCCGTTTGCATTGGCAGACGACAATGCAGGCTTTGTTTAGTTTCTCTTCGTGGTGCCTATTCCACAGGAGTTTACTGTCTAGTATTACTCCTAGGTATTTGACCTCTTTGGTAAGTGCCAGTTGTGTTTGAAATAGTTTAGGAAGTTTGAGATTGCCTAGACTACGTTTGTTTGTGAACATGATCATCTCTGTTTTCGATGTCTTCACTGTTAAGTTGTGTGTCACACACCACTGGTCAACGAGCTTCAGTGAGAATTTCATTTGATCGCATGTAACGCTCTCAAAAGGACCACTGATGAGGAAAGTCAGATCGTCTGCATAGCCTATTGTGAGGAATCTACGGTCGTTGAGTTGTGTGATTACTTCATCCACAACAATGTTTTATAGAAGGGGTGAGAGTTCTAGCAACTACTTCGCCGTAAATTGCGCAGTAAATTGAATAGCTCTACATCTTAGCATGCTGACGATCCACCCTGAGATTTTGGAATCAACACCATGTCTAGACAGAGCTTGGCTAATGCTGAAATTTGTTTAATCGAAGGCACCTTCGACATCGATAAAGGTGGCAAGTGTTGTTCTTTTGTGTTTTAGATTGCCTTCTATATGTGATACTATTACTACTGTATCCTCTGGTTTTCTTTCCCACCTGTCTTCCCATTTTCCATCACATCTGTTATGCGACATCCTGGGAAGTGTGTTTTCAGCTCTGAGGTTTCCGAGTCTGTATTGGTAAATTTACCATCAAGCTTCTTCAGTGAGCCAAGATTGTGTACTGTACTGCTACACAATATGTTTTTGACCCTGTTGGCCTGGTTGTTATTCACTATGTTGAACTTCTCAGTATCTTAGATACCAAATTAATAGTTAAAGTACAATATTTTAAATCAAAAATATATTTCGTATTTCTCCATCAAAAGATATTCAAAACGTCAGTCATTTTTCTGTATTTGTTAATTGGTTTTGAGTTTGTTACAATTATTTGCCCACGTCTGTCTACCCTTACCCATTAAATATTGAACCTATAATAAAAATAATTTGATTTAGTAAACCACTTAATTCAATGTTTATTTCTGTTCATTCAATAGTGGGTATAAGTACTACAGCTTTTTTAATTAACTAATATTGACCAATCAATATCGAGGTTATAATGAATGTATGTAAGCAATGAATGTAAGCAATTAACTTAAATAAACAATTATCCAACCAACAATATCGTTTTCTTTTGGATAATTCAACATCGAAGTTAGTAGTCGACCGTCGATAAAGTTTGTTTTAACCAGTGGCAGTCGTCTGTGTTCGCGATAATATTTTGAACGTTCCATTCCAATCTAGTTCAATCTACCGCTGCTACTTGAAACGTCATATTACACATATGTAGAGTTCAGAATGGGTTATCAAAATTGATAAAAGTTATTGGGTTCTCGCAAATAAAAACACATTTTACAGTGTATCCGAGGGGATAGTTGGCATTATTTATTATATATTATGTCCAACATACTAGCAAAAACCGGTCTTAAATCTTTATCTCAAAAATTCAACAGGTTTTCACTTAAGGTTACAGTGAATCCAGTACCCTCAGTGTACGGAAAAATCCACTTTGAGGTACGTAGTGTGGTTTTTTATCAACTTGTTATCGCTATATAACTTTTAGTAACTTTTACGCTCCAACGATCCACGCTGTTCCATTATTTAATTTTCGTTTTTCTGACAGGTTAGTCTCAATATTTTTATTCTTTCTTGTTGTGTAAGAATATAACATTTCATAACTATTTCAGAAACAGTCAATTTCAAAACATTACGTAGTTTAAAAAAAGTCTATGTAAGTGTTATATTGTGAGACCACAGGAACACATGCGGTTAATTTCTGTTTTTGATTGCATTATCTAGTTATCAGATTGACGTCATTGTAGCTCCTTTAAATTACAACAATTTGTTTGTGGACATTCAGTATAACATATGTTTTAGTAACGTTAAGGTCTTTAGAACATTGTAATATTACATTTACAGCAAACATTGTATTTGCTAATTTTTTTTTAAGTGTGAATATATTTCATATTCTAGAGTTCAAACTTAGTTAGGCAGCTTCACAATACTCCAAAAATGAGTGCTTCAATGCTCAACGGCAACCTCTGGGACACAGACCCTGAGCTTTTTGGCATAATCAAAAACGAGAAGGAGCGCCAGCGGGCTGGACTTGAAATGATTGCATCTGAAAACTTCACATCTTTATCGGTCCTACAATGTCTGAGCACATGTCTACACAATAAGTATTCAGAGGGAATGCCCAACCAAAGGTGATTCTCACATTTATTTTAGTTTGTTAATATTGAATTTTTTAACTTGAATAAATATTACTTAGCGGATATATAAGGGATATGGTATCTGTTTCTATAACTAAAATATGTACCTAAGAATTTTAATAGTTATGCCATTTGATAAATGACAACACAAATAGACATACACAGAGTTTACTGGGCTCTTTTGAATAGTAAATCCTTTGTTACCATAATAGTTACATAATTTCTATACTTTTTTGCTACAGGTATTATGGAGGCAATGAATACATTGATGAAATAGAAATTTTAGCCCAGAAGAGATCTCTTGAAGCTTACAAATTAAATTCAGAAGAATGGGGTGTCAATGTGCAGCCATACTCAGGTATTAATTTATTTTTTAAAGTTTAAGTGTAGCAGTTTAGGTGATTATGAAAGATAAATCCAGGGGCTCTTTATTCTTTACTATTCAAAACAGGACACACTTGACGAATATAATTTTAATTAACAGTGAAAGGAGCAGTGATATCTCGGTTTGTAAAATTTTACAGACAACCTTTGATCCTTTGGATGAACTATATATGTATAAAAAAGTTGTATACTTTACTAAATAGTAGCAGGTAACTCATGTTGCACATGAGAATGCCTTTCTATGAAAAAAAAGTTATAATCAATATGGGTGTATGACTATAACTGTAACATATGCAATGAATATTTTCATTACAGGATCACCAGCTAACTTTGCAGTGTACACTGGTATTGTAGAACCCCATGGCAGAATAATGGGCTTAGATCTTCCAGATGGTGGTCATCTTACCCATGGATTCTTTACTGCAACCAAAAAAATCTCTGCAACTTCCATCTTCTTTGAAAGCATGCCATACAAAGTAAGTTTTACATTCTCAACCTAAACCTCATTAAGTACTTTTTTAGAGAATTTGTCTTTAAAAAATTGAAATTATCATGCAAATATTATTATGTATTCTCGGATACTAATCTGCAACAGCCTAACAACTTTTTCTTGTTACAATAAAGATGTGATAAGAACTTCATTGAAATACTTGTAATGTCACACCCGCTTTACGCAATCAATGTACTTTGACCTATTATCTTAGCACTATGCTTTATCGCTGGTGTGTTCCAAATATAAAATGATTGTTTTTACTACTAAAACAACCTTGAACTATGAAAACTAACAGATAATGAGAAATAATTAAAGTATTTATTACACATTTTCGAACTTATTATAGTTATAAACTTAATAAAAAATACACTTGAATGGTTAATTAATGATTTTACTTTGAAAAAATAATTTCTTAATCTTGAATTAAAAGGAAAATCACCTTTGTTTTTATTTTGTTGCCTAACTGTCTCGTTGGTGCAGTAGGTAACATATGCGACTGCTGTGCTGAGGTCTCTGGTTCGATCCCCGGTTTGGACCAAATGTTTGTTTGATCTGCAAATATTTGTTTCAGAGTTTGGATGTTTTCTATGTATATTATGTACCTATGTATTCACAAAAAAGAATATAATTATTCTATCAGTCAATCTAGTTTTCATAGTACAAGCTCTGCTTAGATTGAAACTAGATGGCGATGTGTTAGATGTAAAAAAAAACACTTTTGAGACCTTTTTTCATTTGGTTATGTCTGATGTTAGGTGGACCCAAAAACCGGTTTAATTGACTATGAAAAACTTGCGGAGACGGCCAAGCTGTTTAAACCACGTCTGATCATAGCTGGCATGAGTTGCTATTCAAGGTGTTTCGACTACAAGCGGTTTCGGCAGATAGCCGACGAAAACGGGTCATATCTGATGGCAGATATGGCGCATATCTCTGGACTAGTTGCTGCAGGTATATAAAATATGTAAATTGAAATATAATTTATTACCTAAGAAGCCTTAAACCATAATGAAATTAGTACAGAATTTCAATTTAGGAATATCATTCCAATAAATTGTGACTCTCCATGCTACACAATAAAGTGCAAAGTGCTCTTTTTAGAACAGATGTTAGAGATGCATTTCTTTAACTTTCTATGTTCTATGGGAGGCCAAAGTGAGAGCGTGGCACCCCACGAATTTAGTTCGACCCTTTTAAATACTTCAAATACGAACTTCAAACCCAGAGTGCAGACAGGCTCGCCTATAAAGTGTACTGCGTCACGATAAAAAATTTACAGGGTTTTCTATTATAAAAGGCAGGGTGGAGTAATATTTTACAAAGAATACAAATCATATTCAAGTCAACCTTACAATTACTTAATGAATGGCGTTAAGTTTTTCTTGGGGATTCAATTGGAGCTCGGATGTCGAGGAACTTATGAATTACATAAATGAACAATTAACTTGTGGTTTTAGGTGTTATTCCCAGTCCCTTTGAATACTGTGATATTGTTACGACTACCACCCATAAGACACTCCGTGGTCCTCGTGCTGGTGTTGTTTTCTTCCGCAAAGGCGTGCGCTCAGTGAAAGCTAACGGTACAAAGGTTATGTATGACTTCGAGAGCAAGATAAACCAAGCTGTGTTCCCGGGACTCCAGGGCGGTCCACATAATCATGCTATTGCTGCTATCGCAACAGCTATGAAACAAGCCACCACTCCCGAATTCGTCGAATATCAAAAACAGGTGAGTAAACATACAAGAGAAAAAAATATTAGTTTTCAATCTTCATTTAGCTTTTAAATGGCTGAAACGCCTAATAACTGATTTAAAATTTTGAAATTTTAATCAATAATATGAATGGTTATGTAATGGTATATCTATCGTAAATCCACATATAAATGAATCATTTGATTAACAGTAATTATCTTTGTGTGTGGTGGTGACGGACTAAGAATACAGTGTCACCACCCCTATTCATCCCGTGGGTGTCGTAAGAGGCGACTAAGGGAGCAAACTCTGCAGGACAACAGCACTGCAGAGAGAAGGAAAACTTGAAACAAACCCTATACCAACCTGTCTGGCCAGCGTGGTATAGTAGGCCAAAACCTCCTTTCTAAGGAAAGGCCTATGTCCAGCAGTGGACTATTAAAGGCTGTTGATGATGATGATGATGAATTATGTTTCTGTAAAAGGTGTAAGATCAAAATTATGCGCATTTTATAACATGTATGATAACTGCCAAGTCATGGTTCAATACACAAACATAGCACATAAACATGCACATAATATGCTATAGTTACCGGCACGGATCTTGAGCGCTCGGCAGCAGAGTGGGGATTGCTTAGCGCATCGTGCACTTATGGACAAAAAAAATGCACACCCATTTATTATTATTTATTTTTTCTTAGTTAGAATTGAATAAAAATAGATCAAAACCATAAAATGTTGCGTAGTAAAGTTACTACGTAACTTCTTAATGATTCTATGGTAAGAGAAAATGGTTCTAATTAAGTTTTATTAAAAACGTAAGTATTAATTTTGTTTCAAAAATATTTTCCTAATAAAATTATCAGGGTGAAATAGGACTGCACCAGGGACTTCCTTTCTAGGGTATACCTGGTTCCCCGGCTATTAGTACCCGAGACGGCGTGCGGTTTTAGTCGGTTCGAGTCCGACATGCCACCGATAGGTGGTATCCATCAAATCACTTTCTTATTTAAAGCTGGTACTGGTACGGTGTCCATTTCTTTATCGTCGTATTGCGTTATAGGTACATATGAGAGAATAAATTACGCTATTACTATATACACTCGCATAAAAATTACAATTTTTAGTTATGATTTAATTAATGACAAGTTATGATTTAATTACCCCGCCGTCCTACTTCATACCTCAAAAGAAAGAGATCCCCCCTACCTCATAACTCAAAACGGGGCCGGTACCTATAAATGTGCTTATATGTTTGACATAACTGCATACTTATGAAAATGGGAAATATTTATTTATCGTTACTTGGTTACGTTACATAGGTTGTAAAGAATGCCGCTCGCCTATGCGAAGGCCTAAAGTCACGTGGCTATGACATCGCAACAGGCGGCACGGAAGTCCACTTGATCCTAGTCGACATGCGCAGTGCTGGTCTCACCGGGGCTCCTGCAGAACGTATCCTGGAACTGTGTAGCATCGCTTGTAACAAGAACACAGTGCCTGGCGATAAAAGCGCGTTGAACCCCAGCGGTATTAGGCTTGGTACGTTCAAATGTGAAAATATATATACCTACGAGTATTACCAACGGTAAAACCGTCGGTTCTCAAAAAAGACCAATATCATATTTATTATTATTATTTTTAAATGTTTGAATCACAGTTACTCCAAAAACTAAACCCTTCAACCTTATAAGTCTATGTCAGATTCAATGGTGCATAAAAGTTTTTAAGGAGGTAGCTGCTTTCAAAATCACAAACACACTGCTAGACAACTACATTATTTATGTAGTATTTCGGATTTACTGTTTCATGAATATATTTTCTGATGTTATTCATTTAAGTAAAAAAGAAGAATGGATTTTATAATATTTAAAGTTTAATAGTAAACTCCCTCGCATTTTAAATTATACCATGAGATCTTCACCATTTCATCGAATAACTTTTGAATTGTTTTTTTTAATTTCTCAGGTACTCCCGCGCTTACAACCAGAGGGCTCAAGGAGGCGGACATTGACAGAGTGGTTGACTACATCGACAAAGCGCTTAAAATTGCGAAAGAGATTACGAAGCTATCAGGTCCTAAATTAACTGATTTTAATAAAACTATAGAACAAAGTGACGATTTCAAATCAAAAATTAATAATCTCAAAGAAGAAATCGAAAACTACAGCAGGGCATTCCCATTACCTGGATTTGAAATGTACTAATTTGATAGTACATATTAAATGGTTCCTCGAATGCATTTATTGTTATTACTAAGTAAGCATTATTGTGACTAAGTGCCTTTTCTAAAAAAAAAGTGTTAAGTATAAGAATCTCCTATTACGTAATCTGTTAACATTCAAGAATATATTTTTAATATAATATATTTTATTTTATTTCACCTTTAGTTGAACTTGGGTATGACATTTTCATAACTTTGAACTCAAATTACAAAACAAAAGGCCGAAAGTGAGGCAGCCAAAGCAAATACCAATCAACAAGCGAATACATTCTCGCGGTAGTGCTAAACAAACCGTCAACGTCATACAGTTTACAGCGTTTACAAGTCAGTGATTCGTATTTTTTTTAAGAATGCCGTCTTGCATTTTAAACATTGTAAAAGTTGTTCCCAAATCAGAATAAAGAAGATGGAATATCCTTTCACAGGTAACTATAGATTACTTGGTTGTTTTATTATTTACTAGCCGGTGCCCGCGACTACGTTCGCGTGGAATTTGAATTTTTATAGGGCTTTTCTGAGAGCAAAAATGGCCAAGTTACTCCTCATATAGAAAGCTACTTGGTAGTAAAATATTATCAAAATCGGTGCAGCCGTTTTGAAGATTACCCGGAACAAACAGACAGACAAAAAATATAAAGCTTATAAGTGTAAGCATGAAACCTATTATTTTGACATTACAAACAGACACTTCAATTTTATTTATTTGTATAGATTAGCAGGTACTTAACAAAACGGTTGTCTCGGAACACAAAACCTCGACAGTTGTTCGTCTGTGTTGCAAGTTTGCACCGATATTTTTTCTTAGCAATTGGAGAAATTGCTGATATTTGAATGGTATAATTTATAAAACATGACTAATTAGGTATGTGATTTAAATCCAAAGAAAACAAACTGCATTGCATTGTGTAGTTATACAACATACCTACCACCTAATTATTGATATTGAAATCCATGAAACCTTAATATTTAAGTAAGTGAATAAATAAGACGATGACCGGTTCGGTCCGCAGGGACCTAACGTATAACTGTAGAATATTAAAAGATATTAGGCTTATTTAACAAATATTTACTATAGTGCTGAGTTTCACTGTTTTACGATTTCTGCAGAATGCCGAAACTGAAATTAGAGATTCAGACCTGGACTCAATATTTGATTGATGTTTTTAACTCGAAAAGATTTAAGAAAACTTAAGTCTTTTCGAGTTAAAAACATTACAACAAAAAATTCGGCGTCTAGAAAAAAGGAATGATTCACTTAAGAATATATTGAAAGACTTTGAAAGAGTTAAAAGATAGAAACTTTATTAATTGCTATGCACATAACTTATTGAGACAGAATATAATAGCAACCGAGCTTTTAAATAACTTGTACTTAAAGAAACTGAAAAAAAAGAACCAGCCATCATAAAATTTTCCTTGTCTTTAAATTTTTACTATTCATAGGGTTATGAGTACGTCAGAAAATCCTTTAATTGTTGTCTGCCACATTCTAAAACGTTGCCAAAATGGTATACACACGTGAAAAGCGAGCCTGGATATACCCAAGAAGCTTTACGGCATTGCAAAAAATGGCAGAAACTTAATCATAAGCTCTATGCGCGCTTATATTCTATGAAATGGCATTGCGCCATCAGAGGCTGTGCGATGGTAAACGCTACATAGCGGTTGTTGATATGGGAGATGAAATAACAGTCTACCACTTTGGCGTCTCAAGCATTTGTATTTATGCTAATAGGAATGAACCAAAGATTTAAGATACCTTTGGGGTATTTTATGATAAACAATTTGACCAGGGAACAGAAATCTAACTTAGTTAAACTTTGTCTCATGAAATGTCATGAAGCTGGAGTCAAAGTTATTTCACTAACTTGTGATGGGTATTCTACAAATTTTACTGCCATGGAGCCGCTTGGTTTCAGTATCACTGATACTGCAGACATGAAAACAACCTTTCAACACCCCTCAAATTCTAGCGAGGTGGCGTGTTTTTTAGACCCGAGTACTGTAATCAAATTACTTCAGAACTAATTAGCAGGGAAGTAGGAATTTTTAAACAAATATGAACAAATTGTCGACTGTAAAGTTTTAGTAAAACTAAATCAAATACAGAAAAACGAAGGTCTACACTTGGCAAATAAAATTACTAAAACACCACTCACCACGCAGACGCTAAGTAGGAGTATTGCGAAAAGTCTTTTTTTTTTGGACAATGGCCTAAAACTGCCAGATTTTGAAAAATCTCAGTCAACTGAATAGTTTGTTCAATTAATGAACGACACGTTTGATGTTTTTAACTCAAGAGATATGGCACATTTTGTCTAGAAAACCTATTTATAAAAGAAACAAAGTCTAGATTTATGCTTTGCCGGACCAACTTCAAGATTATATACAAAACTTGCAAATAAAAAGTGTCACCAAAAGGAAAGTTATTAAAAATGGTCGGCTAATTTAATTATAACGCGATTTTATAAAATAGTAGTGGAAACAAAATGTAAACGTCTTTTTATTGGAGCATTAATAAATATATCAAGTTTAAAGTCACTTTATGGATGCCTAGTAGAAAGACGACCGGATGGCGTAGTGGTTTGTGTGACGGACTGCTATTCCAAACGGGTTCGACTGGTCACTGGTTCGAATCTCGCTCAAGTCACACATTTGTGTGAATGAACACTTAATGTTTGATTTGGTCTGGGTGTTTCCATGTATAATATGTATGTATTTACAAAATAATAATAATGACAATCCACACGTAAAACTGTTTAAGGTCATATACCGAAAATTGTTTACTCATTTAGAAATTAAAAGTCTAGAAACTGGCAATTGCATCCCACTTGAGAACATTGCAATATTGACGTGTACTTGTGCAAAAAAAAAAAACTAATGCAGCAACTTCTTCAGACATCGAATTTTCTGAAAATAATTCTTTGATTTATTTAAAACCTCACCGCAACGCTCTCCGAGCAACACGGTAGGGAGTAGCCAAACGCAGGCGTTCCCCTCTGCCAAAGTATAAGTCCACACGGTCATATGCATACAATTAAACTAGTTGCCGCCGAACCGCACTAAAAAATAGATACGTTGTTGAGTAGACAACAGTAGCCGACCTACAAAATTCTCGAATTGTTCAGTTTTTGCTTTAAAAAGCGATCTGCCAGTTCAGTTATGTTACATGACCAGTATGTTAGATGATCAGTTTACATAAAGATGGCGATAAATTTTCATATGTAAGTAATTTTTAATTAAATTATTACTATAGACAGATTTTTTAACTTAAAATTCTCAGCATACTCCTTCCTAGAAGGCCGGCAACGCGTTTGTGACTCCTGAGTTGCAGACGTCCATGGGCGACAATGGTCACTTTCCATCAGGTGGTCTGCTAGTCTGTCTCCACTAACATAAAAAAAAAAGAAAAATACGAAAATATTAGTTGTATTGTTTTGGATTTGTTTATCAACACAGGCCGCTAGCACTCATACAATATTCGAATCGGTCTAGCGACCGGTCGCTATCACCGAGCCATAGTGTTGTAACCGGTTTGTATGTATTGTGTAATAGTTAGATATCGATAAAACACAATCATCCATGTCTCTCGTGCATATTATCATTTTTGAGATTTATAATTACGTGCATTGTAAACTTTATTTCAATATACTTTAATATTAAAATTGCGCCCATACTAATATAATATACTTATGTGTTTTAACACATTATATATTACAATTACTAAGTGTGCACTACGACCACGTTGTTTTTATTTATTTATTGCAGGTTGCCTAAAGATTTAAGTTTAAGAGCTATATCGAAGAACTTTTATAAAAACTTATACCTTACCTGGATTTCTACAAGAAACAGTGTCATTTGCTCAGATCATTTCAAGACCTCTGACTTTTAAGTGTTGGCAAACAATAGAAGGATATCACACACATATAAAAAATCTCTACACAGTTTATAGGTACTCCGTCATATCCCTACCTCGGTAAAATCAAGAAAATGTAATGTAATGTAGTCATCACTATGTTTTTCTTAATTATAACATTAACATTTAATTTAACTGGTGTGTGTAATATAATAAATAAGTACAGGTAGGTATTCCTACATAGTTAACTTTTCGTGTAATGTAGGTATGTACTTTCTATTGATTTTCTATAAACTAATTAAAACGAAACATGACGTCAGGTGACCAAAAATTGTCATCAAAAAAGTGTAAAAAACAGTTCTTTTATTTTTGTAGGCGAGTTTTCAACCGTTTAAACCGATTTATTTAACATATTACTTAAAACGTTTTAAATCGGTTGTTTTACATCTATAACCGGGGCCTGTATTGCTCTATGGCTGTGTATGTGTACGTTCCATCTGCCTTTTGTCTTGTAATCTGAGACTATGAACATTGCTGATAATTAAGAAAAATGGTGTGATATTTTTTGTTTAGAAATTTTGACTGCCTGTCTTCTGTATGCAAGGAAATAAATAAACAGGATCCAGAAATATCATAACATTTTTAGAGTTTGCGTATTTTAACGATTAATTGTGTACGCAACACGTAAAAAAACTAAACAAGCGTGAACATTATGTATGTATGTAAAATAAGTAATATTGCATATAAATAAGAATTTAAAGTCTTCTATCCATGGAAATATTTTAACCTTTAAAATGCAACGGTCGGCAAAATACGCTACAAATATTTTATCCGCCCTTTTTGGCCATTATTAATAATCTACGATTTGTATAGTGTTCGATGTTGTAAAACGATAATTAAAAATATCTAAATCCAAAATTAAGGTGTTGAATCTGCAATAACCGACACATATAAAAAAGTAAACTATCTGTTTGTAACAAAAGAGAATATACGGCAAATTAATACAGTTAAATAATATATACCTCCATAATAAAATATTTAAGTATGATAATCAGCAGAATGCTTACCATAGTACAAGCCACAGAGTACTATTGGTACAAGCTCTGCCTAGTGTCTAGTGAATGCCGTGTGTGAGATGCATGAAGTTATTATTATCATTATACATGCAAATTTAGAATATGCATTTGTGTGTACTTCGGGGATGCCCAACTAGATTCGGACCCGACGAAAACCCCTTTTCAAGCGAGAGAAGCGTCTTTTAGCGAGTAAATTTATTGCTGGCATCCAATAACGCAAATCCCAGGAAATTGAACTCCAGTATTTCCAGTAGCCGACCTTAGGCGAGGTTTGCTCTATGTACATATAGTATAGTAGGCCAAAACCTTTTTCTAAGGAGAGGCCTATGTCCTGCAGTCAACTGTTAAAGGCTTTTGATGAACATAGCACGATTCGCTTCCACATATATGTATTTACCTTTCCCTTAGTCTTGATGTTTGTCCCGGGTATTAAATTATTAGTTTGTTAGAAGTGATTGTTTTTAATGATCCACATTGGTATTGTAAAATAAGTCTTTATAAATACCAAGAATATCAGTAACTCAAAACCCCAAGTATCTCATTTGAATTCATATACTCGTTCCGTTCATCGTTCATCCAAATCAGTTCATTCAACAATTCATTCATATTTTCGTGAAAATTGGGTTGTTTTTGTGTCGATCCTGCAAATAAAACGTAATTGAGAGTGTAATTTAATGGTGCAAATATTTTTATAAATACTTTTAGGAATAACGTTTAGAGGAAATTCTCGACCCAAGATCCATGTAAACCGAAATAGTCAACGACCTTGCTTACAGTAACGTATGTTATTTTAGTTGGCAGATCAAAGAAAAAGTGGAATTCTTGTTTTGATAAACAGAATATTACTTACTGTGGATTGAATTGTCCTTAACATTTTGTGAAAGTATACTTACATGGATCCGCAAAAAGATTAAATTTCGGCTGTATTATGTATAAGCTCGTGTGTGGTATATACCACCTGGAGATCAGGCGAGTAACACCTAGTTCACCATGACTATGTATCCTTCTTCTGGAATGGTAGCGACGACCCAACAAGGGACTAGTCACACTGCGCAAAACGGAAGTACGACGTTGCCCCGATCACACCATCAAAGGACAGGTTTGTGCATTAATTAATTGGAACAAATTAGTGTTTATAATTTACTCAGAACAGTGTGTACAGGCTCAACTGCAATAAATTCCAGTTATGATTTCATATATAAAATTTGAAAGAAAGTAATAATGTTTAATCATTACTCATTCTATTTGTAAACATGATTGTAATGTCATACATAGTTCTAATTCATTATAGCATATTCGAAATTTCCTTCGCAAGTACTAGATGTCCTACAAAAGTTGTTTTGTGAGATGTTTCTTTTGTTAAATGGGCAATAATTTCAGTGATAAACAGTTAACATTTTGAATAGCATGTTCATCTTTTATGTAAAATAGTACAAGAAAAAAATGTTTATTCACCATTATCCTATAGTTTCTATGCCATAAATTAACAACCCAATATTTTTTTTAGATAATTCTATGTTTTAGAGCTAGACAGTTGACAAATGTCAATTTCACAGTCATAAAGATTAGTAGATAGCTTACTAATATTGGTGTTTGTTTAAACCTTTTAATTATTAGCAGAGTACTATCCAAATGAATATCTAACACAATTGTTAAGTAAAGAGTATCGATATCACCATCAGCCTATCACAGTCCACTGCAGGACATGTGCCTTTTCTATAACCAGTATGATGCAATAAAATTTTATGTTAATTCAAATAGATCATCCATAAGGCCGCTCATTGTACATGGTTTACATTATAATTCTTATAGGCTCACAAACAAATTATGCCAATTACTGTAGTGTTAAAGTACCTAAACAATAAATTGAAGTATATGCTATTTCAGGGCGACCACCAGCAGCCCCAAAATCTTATGACTACCTGTTAAAAGTCTTATTAGTAGGAGATTCTGATGTTGGCAAACAAGAAATTCTTCAAGACTTGGAAGATGGGTCAGCTGACTCACCATTTTGTAGTGGTAGCGGTGAGTTTGTTTTCATTATTACCCACTTATAATTAGCTGATACATAGATTAATAATTTTAAGTTTGTATGAAATAAAAAATTTAAACTGCATATAATCATTTAAAATATCTTATTTACTAAGATTACAAACTGCTATCAAATTGGTTCATTTGAAATCTTAGTGTTATAGAAATATGTTGAAATATTTTAAGTTTCTTTTTTTATTTAATATGGCCATAATTAATTAATGAGAACAAATGTGTGATGGTTTCTTTAAGTAAGTAAGATTAACATGTCTTGCTTGATCTTGTTTAAGTATGTGATTAAATTCTATTTACAAACCTGATATATTTGATGCATTTTTTATTATAGATAAAGGAAATATGCCTTTGCATATTGTACTTACTTGTAATTGAACCAGTGTTGTGGAGAAACAATTTAGTCTACAGTATGATCAAATTAATAATGCTAATGAACTGTACAAATATAAGAAGTTTCTAAAATTTTGTATTCTTATTGTGAAAATATTTATTTACATGTACAGCAGTGGACTATTAAAGGCTGCTTGATGATATCCTAACTATTATACTGTCAACACAAAGAGGCTGTTAATTTTACATAACATTAAGTTAAACAGTATTTTTGGTGATTCATCAATCCTCTACACCAGTATCTATAAACATTATCATTTGAAAATGGAATTTATGATATAATCAATCAATACATCTATGCTTGATTTGCATACCTTAATAGGAGGAAGTTATACAGCATAGTTCAGATAGCCATCTGGGTAACATTAAACACTGTGCCCACTTTCAAATTAGATTGCTAGTTATTATAAACTTAAGAGTAAATTGTTGAACATAATATACTTAAGAGATAGAGTTGATATCTGAAACTGATTGCTTTCAATTAAAATAAAAGTTTTTGTTCTTAATGATACAACTCTTGCCTTAGGTAAAATCATACCTATATAAAATATTGTGCGAAGAAAATTTTCAAAATTGTACTCAACATAATATCATGCAGTACTTAATATTTTGCAGGGAATAGATAAATGCTTATGCATTGTTTTAATTCTATATTAATTATGCCATATTACATATCAACTTATATAATATAGCCATGTCATAAATAATAGTTATCTACTAGGTCTAGTGGTTAGTGGTGCTGATTCCAAGTCAGAGGTTGTAGGTTCAATTCCCATACATGACAAATAGTTAAGACGATTATGAGTGTATTTTCTGTATCTGAGTGCAATTTATCTATAATACGAATATATTTAGAAATATCAACAGTCAAGTTAACATACATGCCTGTTTTATGTTAACTTCACAGAAAACCTGTGCTAAACAATTCTTACGTTGCTTTCACTGAGATTTTACTTCAGACACACTTAAAAGTCAACAATGCACTTGTCTGTTGAGTTGCGTGTGTTCATGGGCGACGGTAGTCACTTACCATCAAGTGTTCCTTCCGCTCGTTTGCCACATATACCTTAAAAAATACTGCACGAAAAGATTTTACTGGTACTTTTTCTTTTGCAGCATATAAGACAACAACTATATTATTAGACGGGAAGAGAGTTAAACTACAGCTATGGGACACGTCAGGACAAGGCCGCTTCTGCACGATAATCCGTTCATATTCACGCGGCGCGCAAGGAATACTTCTCGTTTATGACATCACCAACAAATGGTCCTTTGACAGTATTGACAGGTGGCTTGAAGAGGTTGAAAAGGTTGGTATATTTAAACAAGCATTACTATCCATCACTTACTTGCTAATATTAGATATGATATAAATGAGTAACTCGGTCTAAAAACATCCTAGCATGGACCTCCCAATTCTGGATGCATACAACAGTACTATGATAAATCAATTAATTGAATCTGACCTTACACAAAAATAATTAAAATATTATTTAATTAAAGTTAAGTAATTAAGATAACTTTGTAATTATTTTTATCACATAGTTAAAATTAGGAAAATGTTTTAAAAACATATAGTTTGGTAATTTAAGAAATAAAAGGATTAAGAAATAATAATCATCATCATCAACAGCCTCTTATAGTCCGCTGCCGGACATGGGTCTCTCCATAGAAAGGAGGTTTTGGCCTACTATACCACACTGGCCAGACAGTTTGGTATAGTTTGTGCAGTGCTATTGTCCTGCATAACTTGCTCCCTTAGTGCCCACTAAGGGAGCAAGTTACGCAGGACAACAGAAAATCTTAAGAAATAATAAACTGCATAAATCTATATATATAAAAGAAAGTCGTGTTAGTTACACTATTTATAACTCAAGAACGGCTTTACCGATATGGCTGAAAATTGGTCCTCACCAATTAGCTTAGAGTCAGGAGGTAGCTTAGAGTCAGGAGACGGACATAGGATACTATTTATTCCGAAAAAAAAAAAAAAAAAAAAAGTTTGCACGAACTTTGCTTTACTTGGAGATGCCACGTTATTATACTTGGAATGCTTTATCGAAGAATTTTCAAAGACGGAAGATTTTTTCTAAGAAAAAAATTAACTTACTAAATTCGAAAATCGGGTTATTTATTGCCTTTAAGGCGGAACAGAGTTCGCCGGGTCAGCTAGTTTAACATATTTCTGTATATTTTCTTACAGCACGCTCCAGGTGTGCCAAAAGTACTAGTGGGTAATCGTCTCCATTTAGCATTCAAGCGGCAGGTACAAGAACGTGATGCAGAACAATATGCTGCTAAAAACCACATGGCATTCTTTGAAGTCAGTCCACTGTGCGACTTTAACATTAGAGAAAGTTTCTGTGAACTATCGCGGATGGCCCTGCATCGGAATGGTATGGAGAGACTGTGGCGAAGCAATAAAGGTGAGGTATTTGTTAAGATTTTTAATATTGTATTAATTAAAATTCATAATATTTAATAAAAGACTAACAATTTAATTCACCTGTATTTTGGGGTTGCCTGACTTGACTTTTGAAACCTATGGGGCCTTATTTCAAGGAGTAAAGGGTCCTGCCGAGAAAGGGACAGGCTTCACACTCTTAAATTAATACCATTTATACCACTCTAATTCGTCTGAATTCTAAGGAGTATTCCTTACTGGAATCCTACAGCATTTAACGTTAGCAAAATTCAATGTGCCATTAAAACAATCTAATATAATTCTGTTTTTACGATCTCGAGCAACTGCCCGCATAATAATAAAATATGAAATGATTTCGTTACGAACTTTATTAAGATTGAATTCATCTTGAGCTGCCGTCATTTATCGTTTTTATATTGATCACTCTTTAAACAATACTCTATAACAATATTTTTTATTGCAGTCCTAAGCCTGCAGGAGCTTTGTTGTCGAGCAATAGTGGCGCGCACGTCCGTGTACGGCCTGGAGCGCTTACCGCTGCCGACCGCATTGAAGTCCCACCTCAAGTCGTACGCGATCTCCGCGGCGCCCAGCCGACACCGAGCGCGAGCCCCCAAGCACTCGCACCACACGCGCCTCAACTGCACCGGCCGGAACTCCTGCTCCATTGCATGAGGACGCACCCCCGCCGGCTGGCCGTCCCCTCACTCGATGTGCTTTGATAATGATGTAAGATTTCAGTCTGGCACGAACCCGAATACTAACCCTATTGTGTGAAAAATCACGTGTGTATTTCTTTTGACTATGGTGTTTGTTGCACAATTAAATCAAAGGTTGTCCTCGTTCAGCAACACCATTTATAAATTATATTTACTTACCACTAATTGTTCAGATAATTTTGCAAATCAGTTCTACCAGTCAGTGGACCTAGCGTATTTTTTTCGTTTTTACTAACGTAGCATTATCATATGTATGCAATTGTATGAGGTATCCTAGATATACGCGGGATAACGCTTTTCAATTGTATACAAATTATAGTTAAATCCAAAGTAAATACGTAAAAAATACTGTATCCACTATGTACCTTATCTTGCAGCGACGTTATTTACAAGCTATACGAATTGGTAACGACACCACATTAATTGTAACCTATTTTAAACTGCCAATTGTAATAATTAAGAATATTATAGTGCTGATAATGAACATATGTAGTTGTACTAAAAAATTGTCGACTACGCTCATGAAACTTCGAATCTTAGAGTATATACTGTCCGTCGTGTGTCAAACTTAACGTTGTAATATAAATTATAAAGAATGATCCAATCGGGTAGCTAAGAGAATATTATTACTTACATTTGTGGTCAATACACAGTTTTAAAAATAGTTAGTATCAATAGCTGTAGTATATTTTTTTCTGTTAAACTAAAATTTCAACTTAAATCAAACTTCTTTTTTAAATTATTTGGAGGTATTTCTGACAGATTTCCCTTTCAAACTGCCATGCACACTGTATGCTCTAAGCGTCGAACCCTATTTTGTCCAAAAGCCAAACTATCCTATCACAAATACAGGCTGTAACTGACAACGGATTTGTGACTAGTTTATAAAGCTAGGCTAAGATATTGTTACTTAACAGAATATAATGTGAATATTGTGTTATTTAATTCTAATATGTGAATATTTTGACACGGCAACTAGCTCTACGTTTGTCCATCGTGTAATACCTACATTATATACTAACATAATTACGTGCCTAGTGATATGATTAGATGTATTGTTATACAGTGGTGATAATTATGTAAGGAAACAATACAGGTGCCATGTACACTTGGCACTTCATTATAAACTTTATCATTGAATGTGTCAACACTAACCCTAATACAGTTAGGCGAACAAGTATCTCTATAGTAATATGAACATATTAAACAAACCCCAGCTGTAATATTCACTTAAATAATATAGGTACAGTTTCTTACGATATGTTGCATAAGTACACTTTTTCTATATTGATGTATGTAGTGTTGGATTATATAAAATTCGAATTGTACAAGTATCTTATTGTCCATTATTTGTAAGGTAGGTATTTTAATTATTAAGATCTTACAATGTGTAAATACTTTGCTAATATTTGTATCTATTATGAGAGTTCAGTGCATACCAAATGTTCATTCTAAATTGTAGTCATAAAAATATTGGCTATTTTCAGATATATTATATTATTTACTGTAACTTATTTTTAGCGTTAGTCAACATAACGTTTCGTTAATTACACGAATAATTTGTTTATGATGTGGTTGTGTATGTTTTATCTTACAAAATACATATATACTTAGTTTACATTGCATTTAATATTTGAGTTTCTGTCACGTCCTTACCAAACAATTAACAACGAAAAGATCAGATGTATCAATTCGTACTTGTTAGTATAGTCCGTCCTTAGCAAATAATACATACATTACAATTACAATTCCCTTCTCTGACCACTTCTTGATTGACTACTAAAGTAAGTGCTTCTCCGAGATAAAATTATCTGCATAATAATAATATACTTTGAATACCGAAAAATACCGGCAGATTGTTTTGAACCGTTTTTATATTTTTTGATGTCTCCTTTTTGAAAACTATTGCATGTAATTAAAACAAATTATCAACGTTCTTAAAGTAATATTACTAAAGTCTAATAAATAATATGAATCGTCAACCAAATCAAAACACAACTATTCTAAATGAAATGATGTGACGTGATTATTACTATTGTACATACATTTCTGTTACGAGTTATTTTATAATATGTTTACTTGTGATAGCTATAGTGGATAATATAACAATCCAAATAAACTAATACCGACTAAAAGTTTGGTTTAGGTTGATTACTGTCATAATTTTATTATTGCTATTATTATCTCATGAAATAAAACTAATTTATAATAAAAGATATTTCGTATTTCTTTTGAATCCCATTCATTTTTTTTAATATTTACAAACTACCTACGGTACATGCGCATTACGCCTAAGTTACCAAAAATAAATCAATAAAAGCTATCATGCGCGTCGCATTGTAGCGATCTGACTTGTTCTATGTTCAAACAATGTTTGTGATTCTATTACCAATGCTTTAGTGATACAATAATACAAATGTTTGATAGAACAAAGAAATGTAATGTGATACACAAAATGATGATTCGTCTGAATAATTTTTTGTGCGTGTTCAATTTACGACAAGGCACAATTCTTATTGCCGTCCATCAAATCGTGAGTATGAAAAACTTTGAGACACTAAAGCAGTCTGGTCGGAAGGGCACTGACATAGTAATGTTTAAATTGGTAATTACAGGCGCTCTCGTCATTCCTGTTAATAATATTGTTAGTTGGCATATCCCATGTCGGAGCCATGCTGTCTATGTTACACAACGACATGGAAGATGACGCTGACAGACGCGGTTTGTACGAAGTGGAACATTATCATGATGGGGACGTGATAAGCACTAACAATCAACGTAGATTTGCCAAAGCACAACATCTAGCATCAGGTATTGACCTCGATTCGGTTTTATCATAAAATATTAAAGGAATTGCTATTAGGTAACATGATAAACTTCATGTAAGTAATTAATTCCCTTATTAAAATTCTTTGATAGGCCACGAGCGATGAAATTATTTATTGAGAGTATCTCTAACTAGTAAAGTTAAAGGCACTCTCTTAGATTATGAAAAGTACCTACTTAGGTACTATTAATATTATATTCTTTATATGGCCTAATGGCCTTCGTGAAAAGAAAGGTCATGTTTGAGGTATTAACAGTTACTTGGGAACAAGCATGGCTTTGGAGCTAGCATAAAACAGTCTCAGCCCCAAAATATTACAATGCCCAACTTCGTAGAACTACTAGCATTTGAATCATTTACAGTGAGGTCGTTATCCAGATATGGCGATCACAAGTAGTTAAACACATATGAGCAACAGCATAGTTGGTGATGAATATTGACAGTTTAAATCATCAACAGCCTTTAATAGTCCACTGCTGGTCGTAGGCCTCTCCTTAGAAAGGAGAGTTTGGCCTACTATACCACTCTGGCCAGACGGGTTGGTATAGGGTTTGTTTCGAGTTTTCCTTCTCTTTGCAGTGTTGTTGTCGTTCGTAGTTTGGTCCCTTAGTCGGCTCTTACGACACCCACAGGATGAATGTGATGAATGAAGGGGTGGTGACACTCCAGTATTCTAAATCCGTCTGTGTGGTGACAGTTCTAATAATACTGATTAATGATATATAAAAAAACAAATACTTACCTAAGTAATGAAATATGATAATAGAAATTAATGGCAAAATATTACTCCTAAAAAATCTATAATAACAGTAAGTAATATAGGTAGTAACTAAGTGGACATAGGCGCCATAGAAGTAAAACACATGTTCTTCAACAGTGGACTATAGTAAGGCGATCGATTGATTAAAAAAAGTACCGATATCTTACAGTGCGTCATATTTATAATATATATTATTTTTCAGTAACGGTAATGTTTCTTTATACGAGTACGATCCTGACATCTATATACTTGATGTGCTGCATCTCTTTACTCCACGGGGCTGTGAAGTATAAACGCGAATATGTGCTGCCGTGGATAATGGCAGCGTGCATTGGCGTTGTTTTGCTGATAATAGTAATAGTTATCGGTGACGGCTACCCCTGTCTCGTCAACCACTTTGGAGGGCACAATCTTTACCGTGAGTACTGGACTATCTTTTTAATTATGCTCCGGCATATCTAAGCATGATGAGTGATCCCACTTTCTACTCTCATCTTCTGTCAGCAGGCCAGGGTCATTATTTCTGGCTTGCGTTCTTTATGACTACTTATTAAGTTGGATGACAAGCATTTTCTTTACTCTTGACGACGGCGTGGCAGTTAATTCCGCCTCGCCACAGGGGCCATGAACAGTACTGAATGATTTACTATTATTATTTTTTAGTATGGGCCAGTGGTCCAACTATTTTTATAATTGCACCGCAGAACCTTGTTAAAGTCCTGTAGTCTAATTACAAAAAAAAAGTTGAGAAACCTCAACTGGTGAATCGTCATGCATTGTACCTATTTAAACATTTTTAATTCTGTCATGTTTCAGATTTCAGTTGTGCACTTGTTGTATTAACATACGTCTACGCAATATGTGCTGTGAGTAGTTTCGCGTTGGAGACAGGTAGCGGTCGGTGTTCTCGAGCCTCCCGCGCCGCTAGCGACGAAAGAGGCGAACGCCTGCTGCTGCTCGATCACGTCGCCCATTCTAGTTTGCTGTCCACCGCACAACTGAACAAACTAAACAGTGGCACACGGTCGCACTTCGTGTAAGAAACCCCCGCTGCTGCATTTCATTCATAGGGCTGCTATATAGATATACGTACTTAGTTATGCACAATACTGATTCTGATACTAAACACTGAATGTTACATTATTTTATATATTTACTTATACATATATGTATAGTTGTATAAATGGTGAAGTGCTGCATTAATATTTATTTAAATTTAAGATTTTGATCATTTACTGTGTTCGTAATTGTATTTGTTTAAAATTTTTGTAGCTAGTTTAACTCCATAGGGTTAATAATTTAGTTTTGGGAAGTATCATGATCTTTTCCTAATTATTATTCATAGGGTATGAGATCAAAGTATGTTTATGGATTGTCTAACAATCAATGGGATTAACTGCTTTATGAACAGAAGTGCAATTGATGAAAATTAAATAAGAAATATCAAAAGGAAAGCACCAGTTTTTAAAACAAATTTAAAATATATTGCTTGCTGGTGATGCTTACAGAAAATGCAATGCAATGCAATTTAATTACTAATAATTACAAATTATATTAATACATTGTGATCTATGTGATCATAAAAGGTCTGTTTACGTCCGAAATTTGAGTGCATTAAGTAGTAACACAATGAGATACTGTTGTAGATTGTAATCATTAATTATTGTGATATTATTTTATAAATATAACTTGCTATTTCATCAAAGTCAATATATTAAAATACATAAAAAATATAAATGGAAGCAAAATTTAAGTATATTGATTTTAGCATTGACAATATTATAAATTTTATGGTTGTTTTATTAAGATATATTTTATAGAAGTTCAGATTCTAGCTGTCGTCTCTTAAGTATTATTCTATTAATGCTTATAATTACATGCTATGAGAAATAAATATTCATATTTTATTTAAGATTTTTATTTATTATTATTATGCACATAAATTACAGAATACCTAGTTACTAACTACATTCATATATTGTTTGTCCTACTGTATCATATGAGACAAGTCAAAGCTTCATATCTAATTAATTTACAATGAACTTATTATTATAAATTTTTCTTTATTCCACCATTCATTACCACATTCACACAACCCCATCTAGACCCAATCTAAGCAGAGCTTGTCTATGGGTACTAGACAACTGATATAAATTCTTATATACTTTTTTTGTAAATACATCTATCTATATATATAAAAGAAAGTCGTGTTAGTTACACTATTTATAACTCAAGAACGGCTTTACCGATATGGCTGAAAATTGGTGAGGAGGTAGCTTAGAGCCAGGAGACGGACATAGGATACTATTTATTCCGTTCGACAGTGTTCCCGTGTGACTTGACATAAAACATCAGTCACTATAAAACGTCTTATAAAAAAAAAGAATCAGACTTGGAATAACAAAACACAAATGACAGCTATGTAACAATAATAAATGATTAATGTACTTCATTTTTTTTTCTAAGAAAAAAATTAACTTACTAAATTCGAAAATCGGCTTATTTATTGCCTTTAAGGCGGAACAGAGTTCGCCGGGTCAGCTAGTATTATACATGAAAACACCCAGACCAAATCAAACATTACATGTTCACGCACACAAATGTTTGAGTTAACCGTGAATTGAACCCGCGACCATTGGAATAGCAGTCCGTTCCACAAACCACTCCTCCATCCAGTCGTCATTAATGTTTTTTTTTTGGGGATAAACAACTAGTCTTTTTGTTTTACCCTCATTAAATTCATGTAATTCATTGTTGATTATTTTTATTATAAGATATGATTAAAATCGACTCAGATAAAATTAGTGGATAGAGGTAAGAAGTAGATTTGATGGGCTGTTCCGCTAGTCCCTCCTGGTGGGGACAAGTGGATTTTTTTCTACTCTTTCCCTTATCCCTACTAATAAAATCTTAACGTATTGTTGTACATTATCAATCAAAATAGCTTTTCATGAAATTCATTTTCGTTAAGAGACAGGAGGCGAATTATTGCCTTGACTTTTACCTGTGGACCAAGTGACAAAGGGATGGTCTTATATAAAACCTAATATCATTGAAGATTTTGGCATGGAAAAAAATCATGCAGTATTTTGATAAATGGTAGCTTGAAAATAATGAATTTCAGAAACAATGGTCTTTGGTCTGCGACACCGCACCAATAATTTCGCCGAAACATAGCATTCCACACATTTAAATTTGCTACAACTATTAAGTAAATTGCATAAATATGCAAATGGTATTCTTAAAAACAAATACATTGCAATCACCAATAACCTTCAACAAAAGAAAAGGGAACGAAAATATATAATCCGGGACACAGTCCTACAAGATATACAAATGCAGCTAGTGACTGGCAACATTGATGTTAGATTATGCTTGGAGAAGTTATGCTAAATTATTATTATTTCATCATAACAATTACTGATTAATTGAGATAATAATTTTCGCAAATTATAATAAATATAATTTTTCATAATAAATATATTTTTTCTTAAATAATTATATTTTTTCTTAAATAATTATATTTTTTCTTAAATAATTATATTTTTTCTTAAATAATTATATTTTTCATTAGCATGATTTTATTATCGACTGTACTTATTAACAAAATTGGTTTGGTAGGGTAAATGTAAAATAAGTACATCTACATTTACAATCTCATTTACAAATAAACATTTATTTACATATTGAATCATAGTAACTTCAGCTCCATTGTCCATTTCTTAATGGCCTCTGAATACCTCGAAATCCTCTCGCAAGTATAAACTTTTCTGCAGATTCAGATCTGCTGGCTAATGGTTTTATTATTTTAATATTTCTATAAAACTTTTCTAAATCCATTCCTAGCATGGATACCTCTTTGCAGTCCCACACCTTAAAAAGTAAACTTCCATCAATCTTACTGACTAATGCTGCAAACCTTATGGCATTATAACAAAGGCCAATTATTCTGTCTTTATCTAATTCCTTAACACCAGTAGCACTCGGAGCCATGTCTGATAGAACCAAATCCACTTTCATACCATCTAATGCGTCAACCACTTTGCCATGGGCTTCAGTTGTAGTAAAATCCATATTACTCATTATAGTAGCTCCCTGTCAATGAAAAAGAAAATATATTTACAACTACAAAGAATTAATAATTGAAAATAATGCATACATTTTCTGGAACATGTTGGAATATTGCTATTTTTAATCTAATTTTATTTGAGGTCTCTGAAATAGGTAAAATTGCAAATAATTCAAAACCAATGTTAGGAATATAATTATTTTCAAGTGGAATAAAGACAGAAACTAAATTAGTGATAGAAAAACAGATAAGGTGAGAAAGCTAGGGTATTGTGACAATAATGTTCCTATAATGGACGTAAGGATGAGGGAGACTGTTACAAATTACTAATAGTCGTAGCTTAAGTGCTTATTTGTCCTATCTACCATTTTGTGAATTTTACAGGTCAAAGTTTTTTTTGATTTATTGAAAAAAAGCCAGTATCAAGATTTGAAAGTCTTTCTTAATACATGAGTTACCAATGAATTGATTGTTAGAATTTTCATCTACTAATGGTAAGTAAAAATATCTTATTTTACAGATTTTGTATGGAGATAGGACAAAAATGCACAAATGAAATTACGCATGTGGACTTGTGTGTGACCCAAAGTGACCCTTCCATTTGTGCGTGCTTATTTGAACTAAGTGCCAAATCTATACTAATATTATAAAGCTGAAGAGTTTGTTTGTTTGTTTGTTTGTTTATTTATTTGTTTGAACGCGCTAATCTCAGGAACTACTGGTCCGATTTGAAAAATTCTTTCAGTGTTAAATAGCCCATTTATCGAGGAAGGCTATAGGCTATATATCATCACGCTAAGACCAATAGGAGCGGAGCACCAATGAAGAATGTTTCAAAAACGGAGAAAATTTATTACTATTGAGAGACGCAGACGAAGTTGCGCGGGTCAGCTAGTGTAATATACAGGTTTTTCATTTAATCTTCACACTGACTAGCATTAATGATAGTGTGTTTTGAATTATTTCTTTGACTTTTAAGAATATTGGTGCTTATAAATTAAAATACTTGTACCTCTTTTTTAACTTTTTATTGCCTTATTGCCAGGATTTTTTTTGAATATCACTGTGCTAAGCAAGTAAAAAAACAGCATCTTGTTGCCAAATCATAAAGGACTTAAGGGTAAAATAAACAGTACTTACTCTTCAATTTGAGCTTGAGTCTGTTCATTTTTACTTTTATAATATCTTCCAGACATTATTAGGTAATTGTCTAAAAAATATCTAAGCACAAAACATAATTTATTAAATGATTTTGTAAATATTTTAATGTCTCTTGTGATATCGCCAGCTACGGTTTCAAATCATACAAAATGGCAGACATGGCTTTGGTCAGTTGAGTGGACATAGAACACTCAATACCTCTTACAATGTAGGACATATAAGGACATATAACAAAAAGTGGACGTAGAACAAATAGGCACAACATTTTGATGACAGTATTGTGTCACAACTAAAATTCAAATGGTTTTTTTGTTGTTTTAAAACTTCCTTAACCAACAGGTGTAAAATTTAAATCTTAACAATACTGCATTTAAAACTAATTTCCGATAAATTGGTTGATAGGACAAATAAGCACTAGGGTGATGTAGTGTTAACTACCTAGTAAGTTGTCTAGTGAACTTTTCAATTACTTTTTTATTCCCTTATAATATAGCAGCTCACTTTAGCTTAAACTCTTAGAATAGAAAGATATGATTGAAGAATATAGGAAATAATAATTGTGGGTTGTGTACTGGTTCAATTCTCTAAGGTTTTGATTATCTAAGGTACCGCAAAGTTTGACAAATAAAATTCCTTACACTCTTTTTCACAAAGGTTAATTAAATCATTAATGAATGGCAAATATGGTTAAAGTTCTTATAAGGAAAAAATGCAAAAAGATAAAAAATTTAATCTATTTATGACAAATTTATAAATTAAATGAAAAATGACCATGGAAAAACCAGGAATTGTGATATAAATTGACAAGGTGATGTCTGGTACTCGTTATATCTTTACTACTAATTAAATAATCTAAAACTAAAAAATTGAATTACCTCTATGGGGAATATCTGCAGCTTATCAATAGAAAGGACTTTTCCCTTGGGCTTTGTTGTGTCTGCCCCATCAGAATTTGTTTTTTGAACGGCAACCTGTGTCCAAGATCCAGGGGAAGCACCTAAATCCACAACTGTGAGACCTGGTTTCAGGATGTTAGTTTTATTATTTATTTCTATCAATTTAAAAGCACTTCGACATCTGAAAATGATAATGGTAAGTAACAGAAAACATTTTTATTTTGAAGTTTAGGTAGATAAAAGCATTTATATTTCGTTTTCTGACCTATAATTATTTATTTTTGCTTTTTCGACATATGGATCGGCCTTTTGGCGAATTAACCACTGTTGGGAGCTTTTAAGCCTCTTGAAGCTATTTGCAAAAAAAGCAACCTTTGCATAAGTTAAGGGCTTCAAGGGATTCGAGCTAGGCGAGATCATTGTGTTAGAATTAACAGGTAAAAAATTAATCAGCGAAAATTAAAGTACCAAGTTTAGGATATGCTAAGTCGTCACAAAATAAGAAGCCCGTTTTGACGTTTCTCATTTGACATGCCGCGATAACTTTGTATGAACGTCTAGGTAAGAAATGGAAAAATCAAATTCATAATCCTATCATAATCCTATTTTGTTGTGATTGAGCTAAATTTTTAAATTAAAGACAAATTGACATTTGTTTCCATTGTATCATTTCAAATTGCCTATAACATTAAAGTTTAAGTTATATGTTCTAATTATAACTTAAATCCAATGCACTTTGTGATATATAGTCAAATCAATCAAATCGATTTATCGTAAGTATCGTGCACCGAGTCGTATGGTCAATCACTATGATAAATGTCAAAACGGGCTTCTTATTTTGTGACGACTATAGATACAGATACAGAATAACAAAATAGAAAATACGGTCTATTAGGGATGGCGATCTGAGATTGATTAATCAAAAATCGATTTCTAGTGTCAAATCTATCTTTTTAATCAAAATGTAGCACTGAATCGATTCAGTGGTACAATATTTCAACCTTTTTTTTTTTCCGTGCGGAAATCCCCTCGGATACCACCTATCGGTGGCATGTCGGACTCGAACCGACTAAAACCGCACGCCGTCTCGGGTACTAATAGCCGGGGAGCCAGGTATACGGTACAATATTTCAACCTAGAAAATCGACATGTCATTTTTTCTGTTTTGATAATAGCCAATAAATTATTTACAGCTACTTGAATGTACTCAACATTAATAATATGTAGAGTAGCGGAGCCCAGAGGAGCCCGAATTCAAAGGAGAGCTAGCCTCACATGCCTGTATAAGAGTTTATCACAACAAGTTAATACTAAGTGCCCCGTTGGTGTCGCTTTTGCAGCTACTCTATTCTCCATGCTACTCGACACACGTAAAGAAAAATCAGTTTTTCACTTAATTATAAATAATAACAATAAAGTATATGACTATAGGGAGATCAACTCGACATAATCGTAGAATAGTGTCGGATATGACATTTATTGAACCTTATAGGGCAGTTATTTCAAATAGTTACTTAATTTTTTTGACATAACTTTTTTAATTCTAAATCTGTAATTACGAATATTGGCATAGATGTGAAAAATAGGGTTTGTTTTAAAATGCAATAAAAATTACAACTAAATAATAATTATACAATTATAAAGAAAAATTACATTTCATTTCACTTTGAGCGCCTATCAAACAAACACCAAATAATTTAAAATCTAAAATCCATATATTTTTTTCTTGAATGTAGTAATAATATTAAGAAAATTTGGCATCCAAATATAGTAAAAACTGAATTTCGTATTTTTTTCAAAACCGACATTATTCTACGATCCAAGTCGCCATGCGGTCGGAAAGTGTCCGGTGCAGAGGATGCCGTTAAATAAACGCGACAGCGTCGCGATTGTTTGCGGTGCTAGATGCCGCAAGACTTCGTTAGTTACCCGGTCGAGACCGGGTGCTTTACGCATAAGCGAACGGCGGATCATCCGCTGAATTTAACCAGCGGAGAAAACGATAGGGTCCTCAGTAAAGGCTACCTGCTGCTCGAAGTATAATTCGAGCCTCCTCTCGACCTCTGCTACGTGCTGCTCCTTGTGGGCAGGATTTTGCCGGAACTGCGCTTCCAGGAAGTCGGCGAACATCTCCGCTCGGTCTTCGGCACGGTAACGTGGGGTTCCGTCACCGGCCAGCAGGGGCCAGGGCACAGGCGGTGTATGCCTGACCAGTCATTGGCTCGCTCAATGGTGCGTTGCTAGCACTACGCCGCGTTTGTTGCCAACGCGGCAGAGATCTTCGCAGCCAAAGTATTGAGCTGGGACTTCATGGTCGGACATCTGGTGCGCTGTCATTCCAGCCCTCTTTTTCTCGATCATCTCCGGGACGTGGACGGAGGGCTGGAAAGGCTTCCTTGTGGTGGCGGCGTCGAGCTTAGACTCTCGAAGCGCGGTCTGTAGGGCCGCGCTGAATTCCGTCGTTAGCTTCTCGACGTCGTCGGGTGTCTCCACTGGGAAGGAGGTCGAGTGCTCGGCCTTATGGCAAAGACCCGCCAGTTTTGGCGTGATCGAGGGGATAGTTGGAACGTTTTCGGGATGTGATCCAGAGTCAAACACACCGGCTGGTAGTCTGAGATGAGGTGGTCGTCCAGGACGTCAAGATACACAGCCGCGTTGATGCTGCGGGTGACAGCTAAATCTATGACGTCCGGTGTATGGGCTGCGCAGTACAGGTAATGCGTAAGAACCTCTAGTCCTAGTACCTGGTACTCATTCTGGTCAGCATCATCTAGAAGGTGGCGTTCCGGGCATATGGTGTTGGAGTTCCACGCCGTGTGTTTCGCATTAAAGTCACCGGCGGTTATGGTATGCAGCGACGAGTACAGCAGAAAGTGGATGTCAGCCAGGGCGAGGCGCTGCCCCGGTGGCTGGCAGGACGCGAACACACGAGTGGGCTGGCTTCCGATGCAGACCTCTACGCCCAGGGCGTACGCAGATTTCAATGTCGGTGCTGGTAGCGCTTGGTGGACGACTTTCCTCGTGACCAGGACTGCTTATCACCTGTAAGCAGTCCCTCTTGCCGAGCGTTGATCCTCCCGGTAGACATGGTATCCTCCCATTTTGAGTCCTTCTACTGGTCTGAGGTGGGTCTCGCCGAGCAGGGCTATGTCCACTTGCCGCCTTGCCAGCAGCAGTTTCAATGGTGACATCCCGTCGGCGTTCCAGAATAAATGACTTCCAGACTTTCACAACTCTGATAGTCAGTCGAGGATCAGTGGGACGGGGTCCCGCTTCTCCTGAAGCCGTTCTAGCACTTTTTGTAAGGCACCGATGACGCTGGTAAGTCTGGGGTACAGGTTTACCATTGTCGGCGTCCCCTCTGATGGGGCAGCGACCACGGTGACCTCCTGGACAACATTGTGAGGCGCGTTTGCCTGTTCGGCCTACTTCGTCTCTTGCGACGGATTGGCTGCTGCCATGAGCGAAGCGGGGGCGTTTCCATCCTCGACGGTGGTGGGCTTTCATGTGGGCTGCGATGTGGGTGTTGATGTGCGCGCAATAATGCCAGCCTTCCGGTTGCGGATTTCCCGTTTGAACACAGGACAAGCGGCATTATTTGTGGTGTGCGCTCATCCGCAGTTCGCAAATGTAGGCGGCTCTTTCAGAGGGCGTCGGCAGCCGCGGGCGGTATGAGCTCTGCCACAACACATGACAGCGGCCGGTGGTGCGCGCCAGCTGTGCGAAAAACAGACATTAAGGACGGCCCTGTCGGACACGGATGGGGCGTACGAACTCGGGTATAAACCCGAGTTCGGTGAGCTCTGCCTCGATCTCCTCGATGACTATCTGTGGTCTCTCACTAAATACCCCATTTAGTAGGAGACCTTTAATATAATAAAATAAAACATAATATGGAAAGCAAGTTTCTGTTATTGACAAATTTATTCTTGACTACAAAATAACAACAGTTGCTAGGTAACATCATCATATTAAAGATAGACAATTTGTAACTGATGTATATAACCTTCTTAACATTCCGTCTCCTCTTCAAGCAACTGTTGGTTAAGTGGAGGCTCCAGCTAGCTTACATAGTTCTAGAAGCCTAGGCTTAAATAATGGCTTTGTCAAGAAGTCTGCCAGTTGATTCTTGGTATCAACCTTCTCAACTTTTATATCCTTTTCTAGGACACACTGCCTTACGAAAAAATGTTTAAGCCTTATATGCTTTGTTCGCTGGTGTGCTTCGTAAGGTGGATCATAAGCTAATCTTATAGCGGATTCATTATCTATAAAGAGTGGTGTAATCTCCTTCTGAGTATTACTCTGCATGAAGTTCATGATCCGTTTAAGCCATATAACTTCTCTGGCGGCCTCACTTGCTGCAATTATTTCAGCTTCTGTAGAAGATATTGCGACAGTAGTCTGACGTTTACTCTGCCATGCTATTGCACCATTGGCGTTGAGGCAAATCATGCCGCTGGTGGAGCGTCCAGTCGTCTCATCACCACCATGATCAGCATCACTGTAGCATCTTAAGCCTCGTTCTACAGTGGAAGATTTGTATGTTATACCATACTCTAGGGTGCCTTTAACATAGCGTAGAATTCGCTTAACTCTCGCTACATCTTCTGATGTTGGATTATCTAGCTTCCGTGACACTATTCCAACTGCAAAAGCAATGTCAGGTCTAGTGCCAACCATCAAACAGGATAATGCTCCAACAACCTGTCGATATGGAAAGTCATGGATATCCGTATTGTCTTTCGAAGCTAGCACGTTATCTTTAACAATTGGGGTTACTGCAGCTTTGCAATTCTGCATGCCAAATCTTTGCAGTAGCTTCTTTGCATAGCTCTTTTGATCAATTTTGATTGACCCATCAACTTTACGTTCTATTTCAATTCCAAGAAAATAGGAACCGCATTTCGTTGTGATTTTGAAGCGTTGACGCATTTCGTCCAAAAACTTTTCAGTTTCTTTTGAACTTGCTGACGCTATCAATCCGTCATCAACATATAAAGCTATTAATAACTTGTTCTTTCCCTCTCTTTTAAACAAGCAGGGGTCACCCTCACTCTGTATGAAGCCAACTTTGAGGATGTGCTCAGTAATAGTAGAGTTCCAGCACCTCGGTGCTTGTTTAAGTCCATAGAGACTTCGTTTAAGTTTGCAAACTTTACCATCATTGTTTGAATATCCTTCTGGAGGCTTCATATAAATATCCTCTTTCAATTTGCCATATAGAAAGGCAGTTGAAACGTCGAACTGACATAGAGAGAGATTTTCTTGAGCAGCTATACTGAGTAATGCTCTTATGGTACTTGTCTTTGCAACAGGACTAAAGGTTTCATAATAATCTAAACCCTTCTTCTGTGAAAAACCTCTTATTACAAGTCTGGCTTTGTATTTATCAATCGATCCGTCAGGATTCATCTTGATCTTAAAAATCCACTTGCTTGAGATCGCTTTTCTGCCCTTGGGTAAATCTACCATTTCCCATGTTTCATTTTCTTTTAGAGAATTAATTTCATTATCCATTGCCTTTTTCCATTCATCAAAATCTTTAGATGCCATCACTTCTTGAAATGTACTTGGCTCTTTTCGATTTTCATCGCTTATCGAATTGCCATTCATACAAATGTTGCAAATGAAGTCTTTGTATCTAGCCGGTGGCCTGATATTTGATCGGTCTCGTAGCGTCATCCTGCCTTCAGCCTCGATCTCAGATGCAGATAAAGACGAATCGTCTCTACGGTCTGGCCTCGATTCATTTATATCGTTGACTTGACGATCTGTCTCGATTACATCGCTAACCTCTTCTTCGGATATAGGCTCGTAAAAGGATTCCTCCGCCTCTAAAAATGTTTCAGCCTCTGGCACGTCATCTTCACTCGCAGTTTCAATCTCTGCACATGATGATTCAGCAGCATGTTCATCTTGCTGAGAAGACGATGCGATACTTTCATCATGACTTGTCAATGTCTGCTGGATGTTGCTCGTGTCGGCCGGCGTGTAACATTCATGCTGACGAGGAATGACGAAGTCAAACAGGGTGTTGGAATTTTTATCAGCAGTTTTGTTCTGATTGGCAACAGGCTCGTCAATCTCTTCAAAGTGACCCAATAAAGGATTCTCATTAAAAGTGACATCTCTGGAACGAATCAGTTTGAAAGAGTTGCTGTCCCAAATACGGTAGCCATTGTCAGAGTCATATCCAATTAATATTCCTTTTTGTGCCTTCTTGTCTAACTTCTTTCGTCTTTGCTTGGGAACATGTGGATAACAAATGGATCCTATTATTCTTAAATGACTCAGTCTGGGTTTCTTCTGGTGCCATAACTCATACGGTGATTTTCCATCCACAGAGGTTGGGCCTGTTCTGTTTAAGATGTACACCGCAGCAGATATCATTTCAGCCCAAAGTGCAGGAGGAATTTTTGCATGTGCGTACATTAGACTCCGCGCCATTTCCACAACGGTCCTGTTGTCTCGCTCTGTTGGATTTTGTTGTGGCGTATAGGGCATTGTCAATCTTTGCACAATACCTTCCTTCTTGAGAGTAGCTTGTACCTTCGCGTTGACAAACTCACCACCGTTGTCGCTAAGAAGTTCTTTTATGACAACTCCTGATGCTTTTACTTCAGTAAGCATAAGTAGCAATTTCGCGTGTACTTCAGCTTTTTCCCTCATAAAATACACAAATCTGTACCTTGTATAATCATCTTTGAAGAGAACAAAATATCGCAACTTTGTGATAGAATATGGGAAGGGTCCACAAACATCAGCATATACAAGTTCTCCAGGTCTCGTTGCTTTCTCTCGGGTCCCAAACTTAAGTCTATGGGATTTGCCATAGATGCAACCTTCACAGAGTTCCTTGGTTACTGGTACTTTTATATGAAACTCATTTTCAATCACCTTCTTCACATGACTTTTATTTTGATGTCCAAATCTTTCATGATATAGCTGTAACAAATTTGTGTTTGTGGACACCTGATTGACTCGTACAGTTGGTTCCAGACATCTTATTTTAATTTTAAAGAGTCCTCCAAACTTGCTGCGGGTGCCAATCAGCTTTACCTGTCCATCAATCTTTAGTGTACATTTTAGTGTGGTAGATTCAAAAACACTGTTGTCAGATATGTCGTGGGTTGCAAGTACTGAAAATAAATTCCTGCTAATGCTGGGTACGTACCAGACATTCTTCAGTAGTATCGGTATATCATTTCCGTTTACATCAGCCTCTGCAAGAATATTTCCGATGCCTAGGGCTTCAATATATTGGCCATTCGCGCCAGTCACTGTATGACGGCTCTTGAAATATTTGAAGGTCTGAAAGAGATCATTTCGATTGGTAACATGATTGGTAGCCCCATTATCAATGAACCAATTCTCTAAATCTTTCCTTTCTCCAAAATCAGCCGAATCTATTGTCATAACAGTCAGGTTCGTGTTTGCGGTCTTGGTTTCCTTGGGCGGCCTTCCATCTTGGATCCACCGCTTACAATTTCTAACTCTATGTCCCTTTTCCTTGCAATAATTGCATTTAGGCTCGTTAAAATTCTTCTTTTTCTTACCCTTATTTGTTTTTGTATACAAAGCTTCTGCACTAGTCTCCTCTGTGACATTTGTGTCTTGACGCAGGACTCTCTCTTGTGCACACAATTGACTTGTCAGATTTTCAACTGATCTTTCCATTTTTGAAATCAACAGCCAACTGGACTTAAAACCAAGATATTCTGGAGGTAATGTATCTAGTATCTTGCATATTAAAAGAATTTCAGGTAATTTTGTTTCACTCTGCAATTCCGTACATAGCTCGCTCCAAATATTCTTTAAAATTGACACATGTGTAATTATGTCATGTTCTGGGTCCTTTTTGTAACTGAAGAATTTCAGGCATAAGTTGTATGTCTTGTCTACACACGTACCTCCATAGGTGCGCTCTAGCTCATCCCACATATCTTTAGCAGAATCAAATCGCAAAAACTTTTGTAAAATATCATCTGACATGTTTGTTGTCAACAGAATTAAAATTGCGCTATTCAAATTTTCAAAACTTTGGAGATCTTTTTCATAACTAGCCTTTGCATCGCCAGTAGCCGAAAGCGCCAAGGATGGTCTTACCTTCTTCCCTTCGAGGATGAACATGCCTCCTGGTATTGCCTTTAGCACGATTAGAATTTTGAATCTCCATGTTTTATAATTATTGGAATCTAGTTTCCCAATTTGAATCTTACTCGCATTTAATGCTTGCTCCATTGTTTACGCTCTGCTACCACTTTAATATAATAAAATAAAACATAATATGGAAAGCAAGTTTCTGTTATTGACAAATTTATTCTTGACTACAAAATAACAACAGTTGCTAGGTAACATCATCATATTAAAGATAGACAATTTGTAACTGATGTATATAACCTTCTTAACAGAGACCACAGATGGCCACCTTGAGGCTGCGCTCCTCGGGGAGGGAATATGAGAACCAGGAGATCTTCTCCTTCGTCTCCAGCGAGTACAGATACCGCTGGATGATGCGGTACTCCTGGTCCGACTTCGGAATAAATCGGACTCCCCTCCCGAATGGGCGCCCGTTCAGTGCGTGACCGAGTAATTTCTTAAGTTCCCGGAAGTGTGTTGGCCAATCCGGAAACATTTCAACCACCACGGTCAGCTGTATTTTGCTAGCAGTGGAATCAACGGCAAGAGCAGGCAGCAGCAGAAGAAGCGGCGCAAAAGTGGAGTAAAATGGAGTGCGCTCATGAAGAGCTAAACCGCACAGCGATATTTCTAATACCAAATGGCTCAAAAACAAGTACCTATAACATTATTGTATTTCCGCTGTTTGAGGCTTTCTGCGGATGCAGCAACAGCACCGGCACAACCAGGCTGGTTGTGTTCTTAGCGCAATTGGTTGAAAATGACGCAAGGAGCATTATTATAAAGGGCTAGCCGTCTGGCTTTAAAGACATGCCATCTGATCCCTTCTAAGTATCACGTACCTGATTTAAGTTACAATGAGTAAGTTTACTTTCTCAATAATAGGCTAGTTGACTCAATTTGAAAATTTGGTTAATTTTATACTTTAAAATCTATTTTATCCCAAAAAAACCTATATTTAAAAAAAAGCAATAGTTTCATTACGTATTTTGTATTAAAAAAAAACAATTCAAATTTCCCTTGAAAACACTGAATAGTGTCATGGCGTCTTAGAGTATATATAAGCAGTAGCTACTGCTTATATATACTCTAAGCATGGCGTCTTGAATGCGTCACAGTCTGCGACATAAAACTGTGTCCAGTGTCAACTCTTTTCTAAAAATAAATTGGGAATAAGGAGTAACCTGCTCTGTTGTATGAAAACGTCAACAACAACAATGATGTTTTGCGTGGCGTGATGTAACACTTTCTGTTTGGTGTTCATTTTGCCTATTTAATGCCTATTTTGTACGAATTAATTTTATAAAAATATTAATAATCTTTAACTTTAATGAGAAATAGACTGGTTTTTGTCGTGGTGGTTTGTGTAACGGACTGATATTCCAAAGGTCGCGGGTTTGATTCCCGCTCAAGTCAAACGTTTGTGTGTTGTTCATTTGTTTATTTTTCTTATCTATGTCCCTTCATTTATAATTTGAAACTATAAACCAAGCAATTTGTTATTAGTGGACACTAGCCTATTGTAAAAGTATTCTTAATCTTGATTCGACGTAATTTTCAACGATTGGTTGATGTTCGAAATTTAGTAGATTCATGATGATAAATTTATGCATCATTGTAACTTTTAACAACATGCAAAACTTTATTGCCAGCATAGAAAAAGTTCTTACGTTCCTTTTCTTTCAAATGACATAAGGTGGGTATAGAAAAGTTCAAATGATGGCCACACTGTTCAAATATTTTGGCGGCTTTGTTTATTTACAAAGTTCTCGCAGTGGTTGTTTTCAAGCAATAGTAAACTGGAAGTCCTATTCTGTTTAAGAAAAACACAATATAAATTCTTATTTTTTAAGGCAAATATAGGATGCTAAGCTAACAAAAATTATGACTATTTTATTCCGTAATGGACATAACCTTACAAGGCATATTACTGGATTTTATTATTTTAAGGATCATCTGAAGGTGTTAAGTAGTAGTTACTCAAGCATTATGAAGTATTTAAACGTCGCAGAGAAGAACGATGCGGCAAAAAACATTGCACAACACTTATGTCGAGGGACTTCCCGAAGAGTAAATTTGTATTCCTATAAATTTAAATCTATAGAAAACTTTACTAGGTAAATTTTTTGCTATAATATTTTTAACCTTTTTTCAGCGAGAAGGATATTCCCAATATAACAAAATCTATGAATTTGAAACAGAGGTTATGGGACAACAATGCCAAATGGTGATGACCTCTGTTTCTGGTCATCTTTTAGCATTAGAATTTGTAGGAGCATATAAGGGCTGGCAGTCCTGCAATCCAATGGTACTGTTTGATGCTCCAGTTTTTAAATACTGTCCTGAAAACTATGAAAAAATTAAGGTAATGTTTTAATGAGCCAAAAAAAGTGCTTGTAATAATGTTAAAAGTATTCCTTGATTATTAATCAATTTAAAAGTATTAAAATAAATTAAAAACTGTTCACTTTATTCAATTTGATACTTGTTTTAAAACATATAATATTAATATCTAATGGTTGATTGTATGTTAAAACATGTTTTTAAAATATCTTAGTATCATTTAAATGTCTTAACTAATAATTTTTTAATAAAGCATATGTATATAATAATAATTTTTTTGATACTAATACCAACACCACAAAAATACATTAGATTTTTAACATGAAAGAATTGTTATCATGTCACTCATGGGTGTTCATAATAATTGATGATCCCTAACGTCTAAACTAGGCTATATAATTATATAAGTGTTAAGTTGGTTTATGTTCACTTCAAAACTCAAACAGTTCTCCATCGATTAAGCTCTAATTTTGATATGTTAAACTGCTCCAAAGCTTTGTTTTATCATGGCAGGAGCAATAAACTTGGGTTTAGTTTATTATAATAATGTACTTTTATATTTATTTGATTTGTATTTTTATACACCATCTGCCAATTCTGCCAATTTCTGCTAATTGCAACACACAAGATGAAGTATAAAGTATCAGGTTGGATACACAATTGTAGGTTTTTTTCATTGGATCTGAATCCCTATATTTATAGAAATATTGATCCTCTATGACATCAAAGTTTGGTAGGTTTTAATATGGTTAAAGCAATCCCCTACACTCATATCATGCAAGGCTGAACTTTCTACCTAGATTTATTTAATTTGCAGAAAACTTTAGAAAGAGAGGTCAGAGGGTGTCAAGGACTGATAATTTGGACAGATTGTGATAGAGAAGGGGAGAACATTGGATTTGAAATAATTGATGTATGTACTGCTGTGAAAAGTAATCTTAGAATATTCCGTGCCAAGTTTTCTGAGATCACAGCTGTGTCAGTAAGAAGAGCCTTACAGAATTTGGAGCAACCAAATAAGAATATCAGTGATGCTGTTGATGTAAGGCAGGAACTGGATTTGCGGATAGGTAATTAACACACATTTTTGAGCTTCCTTGCTATTAGCAATTTCCAATAATATAAAATACTCAATGTCTATTTGTGATGATAGTTTTTTTTGTATAATGAACATACATAATCTCATAGATCTTATCTTCCTTGATAGCATTTAATGTTAGTTTATGATATTATTAAGGGGTGTAGATATGCTATCTTTATTTATTGCTTACACTTCCCTAGCCATAGATATGCAATATCCTGTTCCTTTAATGGCTCAAGTTCTAGCCTACTCTACTCTCTCTTTCTCTCTAATCTAATTTCTATTTCTTTATAGTCTCATTTTCCAATCTTTAATTTACAAAGCGCACAGTTGACAGTAATAGACAATTCCTCATTTACATGAGATCTCACTGGCCACCTTTATCGACATCGAGGGAGCCTTTGACAAGACCAATTTCACCAGCATTAGCCAAGCTCTGTCTAGACATGGTGTTGATTCCACAATCTCAGGGTGGATCGACAGCATGCTAAGATATAGAGCTATTCAATTCACTGTGAGCAAAGTGACTAGAGGAGTGGTGGCTAGAGGTTGCCCCCAGGGCGGTGTACTCTCCCCCCTTCTATTGAACATTGTTGTGGATGAGCTCATCGCACAACTTAATGACCAAAGATTCCTCACAATAGGCTATGCAGACGATCTTACTATTCTCATCAGCGGTCCTTTTGAAAGCGTTACATGCGATCAAATGAGACTTGCACTGAAGATCGTAGAACAATGGTGCGTAGCAACAACCTGTAACAACCTGACAGTGAACCCATCGAAAACAGAGATGATCATGTTCACAAACAAACGCAGCCTACGAAATCTCAGACTTCCCAAGCTATTTAGAACACAACTTACTCTTACCAAAGAGGTCAAATACCTAGGAGTAATACTGGACAGTAAACTCCTGTGGAATAAGCACCTCGATGAAAAACTGAATAAAGCCTGCATTATTTTCTGACAATGCAAACGGCTACTCGGCAAAAGCTGGGGACTATCACCCAAGATTACCTTATGGCTATACAGAACAGTCATAAGACCAATAACTACTTACGGTGCTGTTGTCTGGTGGCAGAGCTAAGCGCCGTCATAAACAAACTGCAGCAATTCCAGCGACTCCCATGCTCCGCGGTCACTGGCTGTATGCGCACAACGCCTACTGCCGCACTGGAGGTGGCTCTTGGTCTGCCCCCCCTGGATTTATTTATACAGCAGGAGGCCGCCATGGCGATCATTAGACTCAGACACCTGGGTCTATGGCAAATTATGGGATCAATTGGTGGAATACGAACCACTGATAGTAGCTCCATGCGATAGAATCCCAAAACACCATATCTTCACAAGAAGATACTACATCCAGATACATGGAAATGACCGAGATCAATCCGGCATTAACGAAGTCCGAATTTACACGGACGGTTCCAAGACTAGGTCAGGAACTGGAGCGGGAGTTTTCTCGCAAGACCTAAACATGAACATATCACTAGCGTTAGGCCAACACAGTTCCATATTTCGATGTGAATGTGTGGCAATAACTTACGCTGCCACAACGACCATGTCAAGGGGTATCAAGGACTACAACATCCGAATAATATCCGACAGCATGGCCGTCTTAAAGGCACTAGAGGGCATCACAATGACCTCTGGTATTGTCTTCGAATGCCATCAAGCACTGGAACAGCTCGCTACATTCAATGGGATACTCCTCCAATGGATTAAAGGGTACAGTAACTCACACGGGAACGATGCCGCAGATGAGTTGGCAAGGAGGGGCTCGGCAACCCCGACTTCCGGCCCAACCACACTCCTGCCCATATCGTTTAACCAAATACGATGCTGGGTCAGGCAACGGACCTGTGAAGCACACAACCGGAGGTGGAAAAACTCACCCGGCTGCAGACAGTCCAAACTGGTGCTGAATAAAGTCACACCACGACTCATCTGCAGATTGATCAGTCTTAGCAGACTGGAAATCAGGATGGTTGTCGGAGCTATTACAGGACATCTAGCCCTGAACCGACAACTATTCATCATCAATGCGACGGACAGTCCCCTGTGCAGGGGATGTCTGGAAGCTGAAGAAACGGCCGTCCACGTAATCCATGAATGCGAGGGAGTGGCCACACAACGGGCAAGTATCATTCCCGATATAAAGTCGCTCCTAGAAGCCTGTGAACGCCCCAGGAGGCTTCTGCGCTTCTGGAAGGAGCTTGGCTGGCTCACCTAGTCAACTATTTCTCGACGCATAAAGGACCACTCTGAGTCTAAATGCTGAAACCGAAGCCCACAACCAATACCAATGTCTTGCTCACACATGGCTTGACTTGTCTTTGTACTGGGGCATACAGTTGTGATTCTATGTATGTTCCATATTTAGCTTCCAAAACATGTATGAATCATGTTCATTCAAAAAACTCATGATGGATATTGTTTTTGAAATCTAAGCTTAACCTCATCTCTAAAATAATTTGTGTGGCAATAAGTTATGTTTAAGCTATTTTACATATAAAGCTTTTTAACTATTTATTCATTTGTCAGACAGATGTAACTATGTCTAAATATTTAAAATACACATATGTTATCATGTATGTATGTTTACGTATGTATTACATACAGGTGCAGCATTTACAAGATTTCAAACATTACGCCTCCAGAGAGTATTTCCCAATAAGTTAGCAGAGAGTCTGGTGAGCTATGGTTCTTGTCAATTCCCTACTTTGGGGTTTGTTGTTGAAAGGTACAGAGCTGTGGAAAATTTTGTGTCTGAACCATTTTGGAAATTAAAAAGTGAGTACTTACAAGACAAAAACTTGATGAACAATTGAACGAAAATTTAAATAATTTCCCTAACTTTTTTACAGTTAACCATACAATTAACAATTTAAGTGTAGACTTTGCTTGGGAAAGGATACGACTATTCGACCGTGATTCCTGCCAGGTCTTACACGAAATTTGCTTAGAGAGTCCACAGGCCAAAGTGTGCGAAGTGAAAACGAAACCTAAGTCTAAATGGCGACCGTTACCATTAGATACAGTCGTAAGTTTTTATACAGTAATTCTTGAATTTTTGGGTAGATTTCCTAACTATATACCTAATGTTTATAAGGGTGAGAGGTGTATGCAAATTCCATACTCCAGTTGTCATATTTTATGGTACATCAAATAAATACATAGATTATACAATACTATTTCAACTAATTTTTAGGAATTAGAAAAACTCGCATCAAGGAAGTTAAAAATCAACGCAAAGGAAACAATGCGTTTGGCTGAGAAATTGTATACCCAAGGTTTCATAAGTTACCCTCGTACGGAAACCAATGAGTATCCTAAGGAAATGAACCTCCCTCAGTTGGTAGGATTTCAGACTGGAGATCCCAACTGGGGTGCTTTTGCACAGAACATTTTGGATACCGGCGGCCCCACTCCTCGACAAGGCAACAAGAGTGATAAAGCTCACCCTCCGATACACCCTACAAAGTACACAAACAGTAAGATTAGTATTGTTTAAGATGTTATTATCAGTTTTTAGTCCTAGTACAAATACAATCACCGACACGAGTATCAGCATACTGCATGTAAATTTGTAGTTCGGTTTTTTATTGTACAAGGGGCTAACGGGCAGGCCGGTCATCTGATTTTAAGTGACTACCGCTGCCCATAGACACCTACGACTCAAGAGTCACAAGTGTGTTGCCGCCCTTTGAGCCCCCCCTCCCACCAGAAGTAAGGGGCTTGAGTTTGTGGCTCCTATAACCTCACTCACTCGGTCTTCTTCGTCGTATCAACGGGTAAACACCTCCAAATTTTGTCCGCCCAAAATTCCGCTATAGCCACGGCATTGTCCGTTGTGCAGCTGGAAGGGCACAGTTGACAAGAAAACAAATGTGGCATGGTTTGCATTGGAAAGCCACATTCACAGCGCATTTGCGACTGCTGTTGCTGTTGTGCTGTTGCTCTTGCAACCACCTACCAACCTACCTACCTGTCCCCTGATCTACCTCGTCCCCCACGTACACTCGTTCAGTGAAAAGCAACGAAAGCATTGCTTTACACTGGTTTTCTGCGAGGTCGTAGTATCACTCCTGTCGAGCCTGTCCCACATGTGCCGAAGCATGGCTCTTCTAAGCTAAAAGAATACAAAGATGTCAAAAAAATATACATTTCACAAAAATAATTTAATAGTTAACCATGACGTCAATTAAATGATTATACGCTACCAAGAAGACATATTTTTTTTTCAATTCCGACTCGCAAGTCGTGATTAATGATTAACGACAATAATCACGATTAAGATTACTTTTCTTAATTATGATTAATTCAATTTTATTAATTAATCCATTAAATTAGTCAAATTAATTATCGTGCCACAGAATGGCTCTTTCACGACAATATGTAGTTAAATATTACGTTATAAAATTACAAAAACAGCAAAGCCTAAAACTGAGTCCTACTAGCAGAGTGCTGAACACACATACAGTGCTGTTCTTCTTCGGCAAAGAATTCCATATTCCATGCCAGAGCTTCATAGATGTAAGGAGGAGCTCATACATCGCGAGTGACTCCCCCCTCAATGGGCCCTAGCTCATCATCATCATCATCATCATCATCAGCCTATCGCAGTCCACTGCTGGACATAGGCCTCTCCCATTGCACGCCACTTAGATCGATTTTGGGCTTCTCGCATCCAGCTCCTGCCAGCCATCTTGCGCAAATCGTCACTCCACCTGGCCTGTGGGCGTCCTATACTACGTTTGCCGAGACGCGGTCTCCACTCAAGAACTCGTTTTCCCCAACGGTTATCGGTTCTGCGGCTAATATGGCCAGCCCTAGCTCAATAACGTTTAAATATGGTCGGCGTAAGTGAACAAGAGAGATTAGGCAATATGTATAAGGAGTATGACGTCACAGTCCTTTATTTCACAATTTCTACAGAACGTATTTGACGTTAAATAAAGAGGAACTAATTTGACGGTGTACATTATAATAAATAATTTTGTACTTATTAATGCAAATAATATTTATGTATCATAATTTTTTAGGGTCTAGTACAATGTAGCAGGGATTCCCTTTCTAGGGTACACCTGGTTCCCCGGCTACTGGTACCCGAGACGGCGTGCAGTTTTTGGTCGGTTCGAGTCCGACATAATCACCCCACCGGTGGGTGATATCCGAGGGGATTTTCGCACAGGAAAAAAAGGGGTCTAGTACAATAGCGGTTGTACCTCGTATGTGTTGTTGAGAAGCAATTAGGCACTTATAGCTTATTATTTATAGATTTGTCAGGAAACGAAAAACTCTTATACGAGTTCATAGTGCGTTCCTTCCTCGCATGTTGTTCGAAAGACGCCCAGGGCCAGGAGACGACAGTCACCATAGAGGTTGCTAAAGAAAAATTCTCTGCTAGTGGACTCATGATCACAGCACGGAACTACTTAGAAGTATACCCTTACGATAAATGGTCATCAAAGGAAATTCATGTTTATGAAGTAAGTATTATAGTGCAATTTTGGCTGGCCTTTATATAAACAAATATCTATGTTTTGGATCTCTAGATTTAAAAATAGAAGCCATGAAGCTCCAATTCAATGTGATCACAATGTAACAATATTTTAAAATATAAACAAAATTAATACCAAATTTAAATATTGGTCGTCCGTAGATGACTTGTCCCCGACCAATGGCACTCGTTCATAAGCATGAGCGTAAATTTAGCTAAAATTCAATAATTTATCTTCTTGCAGAATGGACAGACATTTAATCCAACCAGTATAGATATGCTTGATGGTAACACGTCACCTCCAAATCTGCTAACAGAAGCTGACCTTATCGCTCTAATGGAGAAGCATGGCATTGGTAAAATCATTTGTATAAGTATATGACTTATATTTTCCCACAGTGACCACGGCCCATGTTAAAGGCACAGCACAGAAAATTCTGAAAAAAGCTTATTTATTCTTGCATATGTGTAAACTAACCGATTTTAAATATTTATATAATTATTTTTTTACATTAGGAACTGATGCCACCCACGCCGAACACATAGAAACTATTAAAAATAGGTCGTATGTGGCGCTGGCCGATGCCATACACTTCGTTCCGGGGCTTTTAGGAATGGGGCTAGTGGAAGGCTACGATGCGATGGGCCTGACTATGTCCAAACCGCACCTCAGAGCTCAGTTGGAGGCTGACTTGAAGGCTATCAGTGAAGGTAGAAAGCAACCGCAACAAGTCTTAGCGGAACAGGTAATGCAACATTCTAACTTATTAATATTATAAATGCACAAATATCTTTTTTGTTAACTGTTTGCATAAAACGTTTTCACGCCGTAACTGTTCGACCGATCATCATGAAATGTTGAATATGCGTTGTCATGAGATAAGTACTGCTGCAGAAGGTTACTCGTATTGTCAAAATGTACATTATCGCGAAGGCGCGAGCGAAAGCTAGCCACCACATACTTTGAGACAAGAATTTTGCTTTACAAAATTATTGTCTTGTCCCATGTTTGGATTGGAAACCACACCACTATCCGTGGTCTGTTAATGAGATGTCTAATTTTGGTGTGTGTCAGGAATCGTACAACTATTCTGTTCGTATCAAGTGTTATCTATAAATACATATTCTAATTCTTCTTCAGTAATTTTATGCATGATATGGTATAGTTCCGTGTGTCGACTGAGTGTCGTCACCCCTATTCATCCCGTCGGTGTCGTAAGACAGCACTGCAAAGAGCAAAACTTGAAACAAACTCTGTACCAATGCCTTACAAAAAAAAGACACTTTCAATAAAGATGAAGTATTTAAAGAGACTCCTTTTTATAACTTTTTTTAGATAGCAAAATACAGAGAAGCGTATGAAACGGTAACAATGGAAGCCAACAAGATAGATACGGCATTAGCTGAAAGATTTTGTGAGCGACCGAATGAATATGTGCCTACAGCTGAGACACTACCGATTAATATGCCGGCTGGTAATAATTCATATAATTTGTGATATTTTATCAAAAATGTGTGGTGGCTTGCTGAAAAAACTGGTTAAAAACTGGTATAAATACTGGTTTTATGCGATATATATGTGCTAGTCTGATATATGACATAGTGTTCAAATATTATGCTTTTTTCAGCCATTTGTTGTACTAATATCACTTTATTTCCAGCCATGAAGTGTCCAAAATGTGGAGCGGACATGGTCGTACGTCAGAAGAAAAACAATGCCGATGAGTTTTACATTAGTTGTATGTCATTTCCAAATTGTAAAAACGCGGTCTGGCTACCGTCCATAGTGAAATCTATCCAAGTGTTATCAGATACGTGTCCAACGGTAAGACCACAATATATATTTCTATAGGTCGGACTCCATCCACCATTAATTTAACAATATCATTGTTTTAAAATTGTAAAAGAAAGTACATCGATACTTAAAAATTCAGAGCTTAACCCCCAGATTTATAAATGACAACATATTAATTAAAAATATACTTAATGTTTAAAAACAGTTGTGTTAGACCCTGGCTGACAAAATATTTTCCATTTACATAAATGTAAAAAAAAATATAGGTTTGTCGTCCTAGACCAAAAGAGGTTTCGTTTCTATAAGGCGCCAGACATAACAACCTTACACCACGGGTTTAACAATTTACTCTTACTACATTTAATCAGAAGAATCTTCAACATAACTAATACCTGAACCCCCGTCGCCTCGACAAAATACTAGTTGGAAGAAACTATAAAAGAAAAATAAACGTTGCTACTTTTGCTAAATTATTGAAACTTTTAATCGCCGTATTTTAATCGCTCTATCAGTCTGACCAACCATTTTGCCGTGACGAGTGTCCACATTCTCTCAAATTGTTATAGTATTATACGAGATCTTTTACACATCATTTTTTATTTAAATAACATGTCTTTTACAGTGTGGTCCAAACTATAAAATGTTAAAATTTGAATGGAGGAACAATTCTATTAGTCATTTATATCCACCGCCATATACAACATGCATTGGTGGATGCGATACAACATTTCTAGAACTATTAAGAATAAATTTAGCGAGTGTAAGAGCAGTTTCTGACAGTAACAGACAAACACAAACAACAAACAGTACTAGGATGCTAGCTAATAATAGACAAGTTACTAGTAGCAATTGGACTAATACGCGGCCTAGGGAAACTCCAGCGCCGGCACTGTCTGCAAGACAAAATCCCAGTGTTAATTCAACACAACCAAGACAATTTGTACCTCCACCCGCTGCAAATATGAACAATCAACCGAGGATGCCAGTGCCACGGTCTTCTGGTAGTGGCATGGGAACGGATGACAATAATGTTATCTGTGGATGTAACCAGCCAGCAAAATTGTTAGTTGTAAAAAAACAAACAGCTAACCATGGTAATTTTTTTAATGAACTAATCTTTAGTTGTATCCTTAATGTGTGTGTGTGTGAAAAATAATAATAATTATTATTAACTTTTTATAATATTCTAACACATCTTATATACGGCCGTTCAATCGCAAACAAGGCAGAGCCTGTGCTATGGTAACCAAACTGGTGCCTGCGCCATTACGAGCAGGCGCTAGGAGGGGTCCGGATGTCTCGTGGTTATAACTTGGAGGAGTGACCGCCTGTGAATAACACGTGATGTGGGCTTAACTTCGGTGATCGGACGAGAACCGGTGTATTCATAACGGCAGTTTCCGGATCCCTCATATTACAGGCGCAGAGTGGCATACCGTGTGGTTTTAGTCGGACCGATTCCGCCGCCCATCCCTCCAAAAACCCCGTTGACAGACCGAGGGGCTTTCCACACGTAAAAAAAAATGGTAACCAGACTGCTGATAAACATACTTACATATTTCTAAATACATACATAATATATTATAGATAAATAACACCCAAACAGAACAAATGATCGTGCTCATCACACAATTATATGTCCTGGGTAATATTCGAACCCACAACATCTTGCTTTTGCAGTCAGGATCACTAAACCGACAAGCCTGTCAAGTTTAATGTCTTGTATTAGAGAATGCACGTTTTACATGATTTTTTGTTTGTTTTTGTCAAATACTAGACAAATTAATAAGATTCTTATTACTGCAGGTAAAAAATTCTACAAGTGCCAAGTTGGAAAAGACAACGGTGGTTGTGATTTTTTTCTTTGGGCTTCAGAGTCTGTCGAAAATCAAGTACAAAACCCGTATGATACTCCACCGAGCAGCTCTTGGTCTAATTCGACACCCAGTCATTCCAGAGACAGTGCAGCAGATAACAGTGACGAAGTCAAATGTAATTGTGGAATACCGAGTAAAAAGTGAGTCACGATTTCTTGTCTATTCATAAATTGTTAGCTAGCGAGCAGACGGGTCATCTGATGGCAACTGGAATCTCAAGTGCATTGCCGCACTGAGTGACAACCACCCTTGAATGAGGGAGGTTATCGGAGCCCAACCCCCTGAAGGGAGGCCCCCCACTTTAATTTGGTGGTTGGGCTCTCGTAAAATCATTCCTTTGTTCAAAAGTAACGGTTTTCAACGAGGCCTGCCCATTTGTGTCGAAGCGTGGCTCTCATTAGGTTATAAAGTGCGGTTTAACAAATCAGAATGAATTAAATCAGACTATATTTAATGTTTTCTATTATATATTTTCATTTTTCAGAGTAACCGTATATAAAGAAGGTCCAACTAAAGGTAAACAATTTTATGGGTGTACCAAAGATATGGGGTCAAGATGCGATTTCTTTCAATGGGCTGACAGTGGATCAGTAACAGGTAAACTATGTAGCATTTTTTGTAGACTCAAAGGGTTAAAAAAGGATTTTAATACACTAAAAAAACATAATTTTTTTTCAGAATGGAGTAGCAGTTCAAGTAGTCGCGGACGTGGACAGGGAAGGGGAAGAGGACGTAGCGGAGGCAGTGGGGACGGCCCTCGGGGCGTTAGGCACTGTAGTCTCTGTAAACAGCCCGGACATACGAGAACGCGATGTCCTAATAACAATTCATAATAATATTCTACAACATTCACACAACGCCATCTAGTCCCAAACTAAGCAGAGCTTGTACTATGGCTACTAGACAACTGGATAACAATAAATTTATACTTTTTTTTTATAAATACATAGATATTATACATACGAACACCCAGATCAAATCAAACATTAATTGTCTATGCATATATGTTTGACTTGAGCGGGAATCGAACCCGCGACCGGAATAGCAGTCCGCTGCACAAACCACTACGCCATTCGGTCGTCAAATCATTGTTTGCCTTTCAATTCAGTTGCAACACAGTTCATCACTGTTATATTAAACATAGAACAGTTAAGTATTTTTGTACTATGGCAGCAATGCTAATGGTCCATGATAAATTATCCAGTGGTCGGACCTCATATTTCTCTTGCTTGTCACATTGCATTCTAGATTAAACTGAAAATCAGTACGTGACGGTATGTAGTGTTATCGCCCTAAACTGCGCTATCAAATTGCATCAAAATCCTTAATACAAGTAGCATACCAAGAAAGAAAACTGCGCAAAGAGATGCTAGAGGTATTAACACATAGGCTGTCATTTAACACTTTTTTTTTGAAAAATAATTAATTAATAAAATACTTTAATACTTATAAAATTTGCGACTAAAACGAATTTACTACATGAAACCACGTCACTAACCGATAAACTGACAATGCTTCAAAATGGAATATCTGATTACTGTACAAACTGAGAGGCTGTTGGCCTTTTTAAAGGTTAATTACTAAAAAATTGCATGGTATTAATCAGAAACTCTTTCAATGTACTTAATTTTATTTGTTTTTTTTTTTATAATGAATATATGGCCACATTGTATTAAACATCACCAATAATTTATTTAGTTACAGCGAAACATACATTTGTAATTGGTGTAAACATACGTATTACTTATAAAGGCAAGCCTATATTTATTTAAACGTCTGTAAATAGGCGGTAGAACGACAGGTTCTATTCTATCTACAGTGAATGTACATACCTGCCGCCATATTGATAATAAAAGCTAAAAGGAAAAAAGTTACTATATGTAGAATATTTGTATTTTGTAAATAACTTAAAGTTTTTATTATGTAAATAAGCATTTTTACTGTTAAGTAAAGATAGTTTAAAACTATTCCGTGTTCCTTATTTTTGCGTATCAACGTCCTATACCACTACAAATCATTTCTTCTCAATCAATTTGGCATACAACTAAGATTAATCAATATAACATTCACGGTGGCTGGAAGTAATAACTACAGAACTTCGTATGACTTATTTTATATTATTTATTTATATGGATATAATATGGTACTTAATGATATGTAATAATAAAGGTGCAATGAAATGTTAGTTCACCTAATTAGGATTGGCCATTTCATAGGGGCGTGCGCTCCTTGTAGGCAGAAATGCAGTGCTTTACTTGCTATTCACAGACATTTTAATAAAACGTTGGAACGTTTTAGAAGACTTTAATTAATAGTAAATAAATGAAAAAACAAAATATAATATTTTAAAAACGCCTACTATTTAAAAATAGCACCACACAAACATTGTTTGCCAGGTGTTTACCGAAAAGCAAGCGCAACGCAAAGCAACTCATGCCGTCGCCTCGCGCAGGACATTTGTTCGCATGTGTGTGTAATTTTGGTGTCCGTGCACAGTTCGCAAACGCACACACCCTTTTATTTTATATCCCCGACAGGCCCCGACTACAGCCGCAGGATACTGCAGTTGGCCGTTCGGGTCACGCGCTAATCGTGGTCGTGAATACTCGGAAGCGTTCGTTGCCTATAAATCCACCCAATTACAATAGTCAGAAATATAATAAATCATGTATGCGGATTATGAATTTTGAATATGGTAAGGTTTTATTTGTTTAATTAGCAGATATGTTTCTTGTTCGCGGGGGCCATTTTGATTTTTTCATGTGATAAGCATTGTTTACTATTTTCTTTCCGCCAGTATATTTATAGTTTTATTTGAAAGTGTGTACATTTAACAGTTTATTACTGAGTTCCGTTGATTTTTTTTAAATGTTATTTGATTGTGAGTTATGTGTGGATAATGTGTGTCTATTAAAAACTAAAAATAACAAGTTCTCACAATTGCCATTCAGTGAAAAGATTAAAATTGTGTCTAAAGGTAGGTGTGTACCCGAGTTACAACAATTAAACCAGCAAAAAGGAAATGTAACTCGCAAGTTTAATGTTAAAAGTTATGAAACGTATAACTGGCTGTGTGGTTGTGTACACACGATTAAATTACATTGTTTTCCTTGCATATTGTTTAGTAATTCTAGTACAGTGTGGACTGATTCAGGATATTCAGATTTGAATAATTTCTATGCCGCAGCAAAGAAGCATGATGCATGGTGAGTAGTTATAATATTTTAGCTTATTATTTTACTTATTAGAATTTCTTCCGCCGCGACGATCTATCGCTGTTTTGTCTGCGTTCCTGTTGAAGTAGTACATGAATAGTAGTACATCTAAGACTTGTGCTAAAAACCTATAAAAGAAAAAGTGACCGACTACTCCGCTGCATACCAAGTGTCATAATCCTGTGCACGCCACTGCCATTTCACTATCCTAATTTATTATTGAAAATATTATCGGATGATTTCAATTTAAACAAAATAATATAAATTTCATGAATTCAGAAGTTTTTTTTAAATGGGTTTGCGATCCTTAGTGGCCTTTTGTAATTTGTAGATTCACTTGTTGAAATTGTTTACAATCTCATTAAAAATCAGTGGGTATATGTTTTGTTAGAGTGCATGCATGATCATCCAGACCTTCCCGTAAGTACATAGGATTCCACTCAGAAAAAAGATGTATTCAAATCAAAATGATAAGGTTCTTAAAAAATACATTTATTTTTATTTTATGTACATAATGGTTATTATGTTTTTCATCCATTACCATCTCTTTTTGCTCTTCTGTTTCAAAGAACCCAAGCTCTGCGCTCTTTGCATTTCCGCTTGCTGCTCTGCCTCTACCGTCTTGTCTGTCATCATGTCCAGAAGGATCTCGAATTTTAAGCGTAACATATTGTTTTCCTCTTCAAGTTTTTCCAACTCATTTTTCAGGCGAATGTTCTCCTTATGAGCGGTACCTGCTTTACCCGAAGCTGGAATAAAAATGAATATTGATGTATGTCTAAAATCGCAGAGACTGAACAGACTATAAGAAAGCCAACAGCAAGCTCTGAAACAAACAACGAAAAAATAAGAGATTCCTTACATATCCTTTAACTTCTATATGGTATGAAAATTTACGACATCGAGCTCAGTATTAACCACAAACGCTTAGTAGCGCGTAAATATAACTTATGTCGGAACCAAAAAACTGTATCATGCAACTACTTCTGGTGACCTCGTTTTCCAGGTATTATAATAGAGCGAAACAAATAAAAATGAATGTAGATTATAAGTTCAAAATTAAAGTTGAATTTAACGGAAATCAATTAAATGGTTCATTCATCTTAGCCCATATTATAATGACTAGTAAACCGATTTTATTCATTTTTACACTATCAAAAAGCTACTTCATCCAGAAGTAACAGACTTTCTTTTAGTTAAAGACAAACATAGTACAGTACATACATACATACAGTATATACCAAAAAACAGTATTTTCTTTAAAATTTGAATAAAATAAATGGATCTTCAAAATTTCATAAAATTAATCCCTGAATCAACTTAATAATGTCGCTGGGAGAGAGAGAAAGAGAGGGATAAATCGAGAAGACTTACAACATCATATCACATCAACAGCCTTTAATAGTCCACTGCTGGACATATGCCTCTCCTGAGAGAGGAGGTTTTGGCCTACTATACCACGCTGGCCAGACGGGTTGGTATAGGGTTTGTGTTAAGTTTTCCTTCTCTTTGCAGTGCTGTTCAGTTGTCCTGCGTAGTTTGCTCCCTTAGTCGCCTCTTACGACACCCACGAGATATAGATTTATATAATAGGGGTGGTGACACTTTGTACTCACTTACAACAATTGAACATTAAAAAAAAACTAAAACGCAGCCAGCCAAAACTTGTTGGCTATTACTTAGATTTGTGGAATGATACAAATCTAATAACCAACCTTTAACCCTCGCACTTAATTTCAAGGAATTGCGTTTCCCTTCTAAATACTTTTCATTGTTACCTACCTGGTATCCACTGCCCATTTTCGAATGACACTTCAAAATCTCCTAGCTTCAACTTCAATGGACTCACATCTATAGACAATTCTTTCGATGCATAGTCACTTCCTAACTCATTTTTTATAACTGAAGAGTCTTGTTTCCTAACTGGAATCGTTTTAGGCGAAAATTTATTACTAAACAAGGGCATTTTCTGCTACCAGTTAAAAATAACATGACAAGTGATGCGCAATATGGTTACCTGGCAACGGATTTTATAAACATTTATACGTCATAGGATTCAATAGTAAGGGAGCCTTAGAAGGGATTTCGGGATTTACTTCAGCGTGTCAGATTAACATAGGAGGAATACCTTATACCCAGTTGAGTCCCGCCACCTTAAATGGGCCCGTTTGTGTAATATAGGGGGAACGTCTAGGGCAGCCCAACAGATAAGTTAAAAAAATCGATGGTCAGAAATACTCGAGCGTGTAAGATTAAGATAAGTTTGGTTAATTACATACACACTAGTGTGTATTAAAAAAAAATGACGATTTGATCGTGACATAAGGCAGTGGTCACAAAGTTCCAAAAAAGCACATGACCTTGACATTTTTTTTATTTTGAAGCAAACACTGTAAGAAATCTTCTTTAAGGTCTACATAATTTTTCGTGCCTTTATTTGTTACATTTTGTTCAATCAAATCAAAAAATAAAAGTATTTCCAACCGTCAGATTTAAAATACCCTGCAAAATTATCGTCAGATTTTTGGCTAGCATGACAGGAACATTAAGCTGAACTCTCTGTATAAAATCTAACACGCTTGGGTAATTCGAAATAGATTTTTAAAATTTGGAGTTTGCATTTTCGATAATTAGCCACGAGCTTTTGTCACTCTAAAATTGTTAGACATTTAAATTAGAGCATTTTCGTCGTTCAAATAATATATCCCTAAAATATCAGATGCGCCCTAATATATTTTTTTCGTTTTTCTTCCCCTTACATTTTTGAAAATCTGTAGAAACTTTTCCTACCACTGTAAGTGGAAACATTATATAACTTTTATTCATTCTATTACCTAATCTTACAAATGCAATAGGTGCGCCGTAATGACGCTTGAGTAAATCCCCATTTAGCATGACGGACTCCCCTACTATAACTACCTATGACTATACGAGTAGGTATAAATTATCAGGTACTATATCTTCTGTCCGACATGCCACCGACAGGTGGTAAAAAAAAAGAAAAAAAAAAAAAAAGGTACTATATCTTCTATGTAAACCAACGTAAAATTCTTTGTACCCCTTTTCAAACAAATATAGAGCACTGAAGCATATCATGTTTGAAAAACTTAGGTACTGTTTATATGTTAAGGCCTGTTCAAACGTAAGCGGTATTCGCTGCCGCTGTGGGTAGAGGTACGAGTTTTGCTGAGGTAATTAGTATGAAGTTCTGTGGCTAGAGCGAAATAGTTGGGAATATAGTACCACGCCGCCGCGCCGCTCCGACTGGCGAAATCTGTTTCGATGGTTTGACGCTGCGCGGGAGCAGTTGAATCAGCCAATATTTGGATTTGTAGATACTTAGAAAACATCATATCAAAATCTCAGCCATAGGTACTAATTGTTTTGAAGTACTTTAAAATTTTTTTAGTATGACAAGACAACTCCTGCATTATGAATAAATCCTGTGTCCCGGGGGACTTTACAAATCAAACATACATGAAACGGACACAAAGAGAACACAGACTCAGAATAACAATTTGTGGATCACACAGTGTTATCCCATGTGGGGATCGAACTTACAACACTCAGAGCAGTAGGAAGCGGCGCGTGGCGTTCTGGTAACAATTAAAAAAAGATAAAAATATCTGCCAATAATAGAGTAGATTTTTAAAAATTTTAATTATAATAATAAAACCTATTCATCCTGTGGATGTCTTAAGAGACTACTGAAGGAGCAAACTACGCAGGACAACTGAACAGCACTGCAGAGAGAAGGAAAACTTGACACAAACCCTATACCAACCCTTCTGGCCAGCGTGGTATAGTAGGCCAAACCCATTCTAAGGAAGGCCTATGTCCAGCAGTGGACTATTAAAGGCTGTTGATGTGAATAAAACCTTTGAAGAATCATTATTGTACCTGTACAGGTGCGATGCGCACTGATGAACGTAACCTCTACCGCCAGCCAGCTAGTCCGTATAATATACGTCGGGGAGAGTGAGAGCGGTAGCATATCTGAAAACTGGGCTATTGAAATTCTCTTTGAAAAACTTTGCTACCTCATGCTAAAATGTTATACAAAATAATTTTGCGAATATTCTACACAAATAAACATAAAAAGTAGTAATCACTATCAGTAATTAGCCGTGAAAATTTTCTATGCCTACCTGCTTAAAACTAGTTTTACGGCCCGGTTTATTCCAATTAATTCTCAAAGATAAGGTATTCTGCGTATAGGCGCAGCGCCTTTTTCGCACTCATTGTGGAACATCCTATCGTCTTAACCACAGTTAGAAATCATTAAACAATTATTTTAAATAACTATTAATCTCTAAATTAACTTAAGAACGATTTGGATTTAATTAACTTTTAAGAATAAATAGTAAAATATTTTCATATTATAATTATCAGAGATAAATTTAAATCAAGATACAGTAGAACTCCAATTATCCGAATTAATGGGGACCGGGACCCATTCGGATAATCAAATATTCGGATAATCGGATTTTTTTAAAAAAAATTGCCATTGGAGAGAATAAAAGCTACGTTTTGATATTGCACTATTTTTTTATTGAATTAAATGAAAGAAACATGAAATTTTCACATGTTTTAAATATAAATAAAATGTACTTATGTACAAGTTTAGAAATAAAAATCATTGTTTTTTAAACATCTCCGTCAATGTAAGCTGTTTTGCGGTCTTCAACCGTTTTCGGGCAGCCAGGTCACGCATTCGCTTGACGGTGAGCAGTTGCAAGTGGTCACACTCGGGCTGACGCTCCATCCACTTCAAAGCAGTCTCGAGGCCGGCAAATGCTTCACTAGCTGATGGTCCAGCGTCTACTTCAACATCAGCAGAAAGTTCTTCTTCCACTTCCACTTCAACATCTTCTCTCACACTTACAACAATTTCATCGTCATTGAGAATTTGAAAACCAGGGTCAGACGTGTCACAAGCCATCCACTCTCCTACATCTTCAGCACTTACTTCTGTACAACCAGGAATTTTTACAATCATTTTTCTTATTTCCTCTAGTGACAACGCATCTTTATCATCATCATCCTCTCCATATTCTTGTTTCTCATTTTCTTCAGATTCTTTTTTTTTGTTCTTTTCAGACGGTAGGCCTTTCAGTTTATTTCACGCACGTCTTAGCGTCACTGCCGTAACCAAACTCCAAGCTTCCGCTGTAACAGCAGTCCTTTAAATTTATTTTGCTATGATTTGCCAAAACCAATTCTTCATCTTCAGCACCTTCGATCAGGAGTTTTCTCAGCAGTTGCCTTCTGTAATGGCGCTTCATTGTTTAAATAACAGACTGGTCCATGGGTTGCAGCAAACTTGTAACATTGGGAGGCAAAAACGTCGTTTTAAACTGCCCATTCTCTCTTTCCAACAGTTCTGCTGTAGGATGAGTGGGTGCGTTATCAACAATTAAAAGCACCTTACTGCCTTCTTTTCCCACCGATTTTTGGTGCTTTTTCACTTCAGGAATAAACACTTCATCATACCATTCGGTAAACAAAGCTGCAGTCATCCAGGCCTTGGGTTGACTTTTGTAGAAGAGTGGAAGTTTTTTTACGTTTTTAAATGCTCTTGGATTTCTTGATTTTCCTATCAAAAGAAGTGGCAGTTTATGATTTCCAGTGGAGTTGGCACAGTTAAGCACTGTAACACGTTCTTTACTGACCTTATGTCCAGGGGCACTAGATTCCCTTTTAGAAGCCAAAGTGGTTTTTGGTAATGCTTTCCAAACAAGGCCAGTTTCATCGGCATTATAAACAAACTCCGGATCATAGGATTCTGATGCAGTTTTAAATTTTTCAATAAAATTTTCAGCAGCTGCAGTCTGCTGAAAGCTTCTCACCAGCCAAATCTAACTCGCGTACACCATGCCTGAATTTAAAATTCCTTAGTCAGCCGTTACTAGCCTTAAAAGATGAATAACCAAGCTTTTCTGCTAAGATTTTGGCTTTTTCACAAAGGATTGGACCTGAAATCGGATTTCCCATAGAACGTTGCTGCAAAAACCATTTAAACACGGCATCTTCCAAATTTTTGTTGGTTGCTGTCTTCATTGTTTTCCTGGAGGAACTTCATTCTCAAGCACCGAAACAAAGTTTAAAAGTGTTGACTTACTGTTTTTAATGTCAGAAATTGTTGATTGTCCAACACCATAAATCTCAGACAACTTCTTACCCGTTACACCTTTATCGAGTTGCTCTATAATTTTCAGTTTGTCAGCTAACGATAGCACAACACGTTTTCTTTTCGAAGCCATGGTATAAAAACAATACAGTATTGTACACGCACAAACAAAAGTAAGCCGTAGCGAAAGAGTAGCGTCCTCGAGCAAGGTCAATAGCACACTGGCTAATCAAAACAAACAATGACAGGTGCGCCGTGACTGCAATGCGCCGGAAATTGTCTTAACTTGCCGTTGTACCTACACACGCGAGGGGAAGTCAGTGTAGGCACAACGGCAAGTTAAGACAAGTCAAGTCAAGACTTGACGCGCAAACACTGGCTTCGCGGGGGGAAGAATAATAGCGCAGTTAGACTTTTTTTGGACAATTTTTTGTGATTCGGATAATCGGCGATTCGGATAGTCGGAGTTCGGATAATTGGAGTTCTACTGTAGGTATAGCACGTGGGTATGCGCCGCCCTTGTTAAAATGGATAGCCCTTTGGTGTGAATTGTGAATCCACTAATAACAGTACAGTGAAATCTTTAGTTCGAAATGTTTGTTTTCGAGACCACCTATAAATTATTGCTGTACATCCTATTATACATCGATTTTAGCACTAAGAATGTGGAAATAAGAAAGAAAGATATTGAGACTCGACATTTGAAAAAAAAAAAAAAAAAAAAAAATTCAATCAGAATGATTTAATCATTACAATTCCAAATAAAGTATTTATTTGTAACGAAATTTAAAATAAAAAAAGAGCTTATGAAGTCCCAAAAAATGAAAACACTTTTGAAACGAAGTTCTTTATCGCGAGTTACGTGCTCTGAGTGGATGGGAGCGAGAACGACAAATGTGTAAATTACGGAACTTCTTTCCGACCATAGGGGTTCATAGTCCCCCCTGTTTTTGTTCGTATTGCTCGAGGGTATGAAAATAAAACAATTACTTTTGTTATTGTCATAATACTGTTTATTCGAGAACTAGTATAATGAGAAAAATAAATAAGTAGATAAAATAGGTACAACGTCAACATTAGGTAAATTAATAAAATTATCAAAATATTGCAGGTATTGCTTGTTCTTATTATCTAGCAGTGTAAAGTCTGCCACGTTATGTCTTCAGTCTAATTAACATCACAGCAGGAATGATTAGAATTATGGAGCCGGTAGTGTATGTGATCGCCGCACCTGAACACCAGTATACTGGAACAAATATTTTAAATCTCATTAAACATGTTATGCCATTTATTTACATTTATTTAATAAACAAAATAAAATTTTAAGCGGTAGGACTTTTCATTTGATTTGACTGTAAAAAACGACAAAATTAATGAGTTTATTTATACAAACAAATCTAATCTCGTAATTATTACGGTATACATACCGGCAGAAGCCAGCAAGGGCCCGGCGGCCCGGGCCAGCGCCCCCAGCGACCGCAGAACGCCGAGAACCGCACCTCGTGCTTCCTGCGGCGCCTGGCCCGCCGCCATCGACGTCATGCACGACACGGCAAACGCAGTCGCTGTACATATAATACTTATTGATTTCTGCTCGATTGACTACTAGAGAAGTACTGCGGAGGTAACATTAAAAGGAGGTCCCGCCATCATGAGACTGACCCAAACTAAGCAGAGTTTGTATTGGTTGTAGAACATGGATAAACACACGCCAATACATTTTTATAAGTAAGTATATACATATATACACCCAGACCTATACAAAAAGTCATATTCGTGTATATAATTAATGAATCTAATATAACACCTAATGTACCATGTTCTAACAAATAAATTTATCTTTCAAATATATGTACTGAGCAGGAATCGAACAAGCAATCCCCAACGTGGCATTGGAATATTCTATCGATACTTACGTATACATTTTACACTATGTTCTAAATACATACAAAAAACGTTGTTGGTTATTAACGGCGTCTGATTAAATTTTACGTTTGCTTTATCAGAGGTTAAATTAAAGACGTGCATAATGAGAGATCATAAATACCCAACGCTCAAAGATAATTCAAGAACTTGTAGATATTACCTACCCAATGTTTCGAAAGAATACTTATTTTTAATATAAAACACAATAACGTATAACACTGGCTGGTACTTAGGCGTTTTATTTTAATACATTGTAACATTTGTAACTTTTGCGTTGGATTCTTTTTTTTTGATTTGACGATTGACATGAAAAAAAATACGAACATTTAAATGTGCAGACATTGCAGGCTTATAATTTTAAACGTGAACCTCCAATTTTCAAAGTTATTAAATTAGGTATATTGAATGTTGTACACGCTACGCAACCGGTATCATAAGCTGACGTACACATTTAATTAGTAGTAGTAGTATTAATAATTAAGTACAATAAAAGCATTCAACCTTACACGTTGCTTCAATATCAAGTAGGTACTCATAGCAATAAGCATTTTAACACTGAATGCAGAGAAACATCTCTGCATTGTGCTTGTACAAATGTTCTTTTCTAAGGAACATAGAATAGTTTAAGTAGATAGAATAATGTTAAGTAGTAGTGTCTTTCACGGAACCTGATATTGGCCAATGAAACATACAAACAAGAACTTTTCATAATATTTGTTAGTGTATAGTGTATTCTGACAACAAATAATACGTTGTATGGTTGTTGTTATATCGTGTAAATGGAGTAATTATAAAAGTTGTAACTCACATAGGGCAAACAAAACTAGGCCCAACCACAGCCACTTTATGGGATCGAGGAGGGGTGGTCTTGGCAGGGCGGCGAACGCCACGCTAATAAAGGACGCGGGCGTCAGCGCAAGAGCGCCGCGGGCAGCCACCACCGCGCCGCGGGCGCCTAAACGACGAGCCGCGCCGCCTTGCAGTACAGCCATTATTAATCCTTCAATAAAATACAGAAAGTCAACTCTATTAAAAAAAAACATTACATTTGTAAACATGTAAACATTTGTACTATACTAAAATAGTTTTTTTTAGGATATCTTTATTTGCCTGACTAACTGTTAAGTAAAAGAAAGAAGACAGACAGAATTGTAAGTACCTATAAATTACACTTAAACCGGTAAAATAAATTAGAAATAAGTAGTTCCAATTTCTGTTTTTAAGAATAGATAATGCTTAGCAGCTGTACACGTCTTGCAAATTAACACGATAATTTTAGTCACATTCTTCATAATCGATAACATACCGAAACTTATAAAAAGAAAATGACTCAAATACAGAAAACAAACTTTGGAATTGCGATAACGACGTACTCACCCATAACAAGGAACATTTTACCCTGCTGCATAGCAGTGTACTGGAATGTGTGATGTGTCAGGAATGTAAGAGTAAACTCTAGACCAGAGTAAATAAATAAATACAGGAAATAAATTAGTCCCAATTTTGATAGTACTAAGCTCTGGTGTTGCGATAGATTTTTCACAGCAGAGAATTTAAGTAGATGCCAAGGTGATACAAAGTCCATTGATTTAGACATAGTGAACGATAGAGGTGCTCTTTTATCCTGAAAAAATATAATGGAAGGCTAAGTATAAGATGACCTAGAAGTTAACTGACACAATATATATGTAGTTATATTTTTCACCTTAGATAAAGTCTCTGGTATGAGGAACAATACCACTAATATGTTCGCTAATGAGAGAGACAGCGCATAAAAGGCGGGCCGCTCGCCCCAAGCGCCCGATTCGAGATCACTGTTAATGGCAAAGTACGCACCGGCAAGAGGACCGACTATGAATCCAATAGAAAACGCCAAACCAACTAAAGCCTGAAATTAAAAAACAAATTTAAACACTGTTATATGTTTGATAATACATGCCATGCCCAAAGAGGTCAACTTAGGTCAATGAAAAACTAATTACCATGCCTCTGGCTCTAGTCTTCTCATTTGAAGCGTCTGTGACGATGGCCATACTAAGGCTCACATTTGCTTTGCTTAAACCACCAATGAAGCGGGCGAGCACGAACAAACTGAATGTACTCGCACAACTCCATAGTGCGTGAGATAGCGCTATTCCTGTCTGAAAGAAAATTATATTCTTATTATATGTTTCGTCTTCGTCTTCGTCGTTTATTCTTATCGTATGTTTAAAATTATACTGATTGTTCTTTAAAAAAAGTAAATCAAAAACGACTCGAAAAGACAAATAAAAAGAAGATAGGTTCGGTTTTTAGACAGTCTGGTTCCATTATTACATTCATTTCTGTTTTGAATTAAACGGATGAACTTAACTTATAAGTCTTAAACCGAAACTAGAGCTAAGAACGGTAATATACTCGTAGTCTAAGAAAAAAGTCTTTATTTTTAAAGTCGAAAAAAAAACTTATAAAAGATTTAATATATCAGATGACCCAGTTCAAAGGAAAAAACCTACTTCAAGAATTGCCAACACTTCTTAGAGCTTAAGATGTATTGCGACCTTGCACCACGAAAGCTAGCTTTATTTTTGGAAAGAATACCTAATCACCAAGTTCTAAAGCTATGAATTCCATGAATAATTAGACGTAAAACATGGTGGAATCAAAACTTTCATGCTATGACATTACACCGGCAACCAATGTATTCATAAAAAATGACCAAAAATCTATGCAGCAAGAGGATATCACCTTTGTGTTTATAATATAAATTCGTTTTTATTTATTAACTCATTAACTTTATTTAATTTCATAACTTTCATGTTGAATATGACCAAAATATTCGCAAGACTTTTGCGAAAGTGTACTGTACATCTATGTCAAAACCAGGCCAATATTAAAAAATATATACGTATACTAATACCTATTCGTTATGTGGCTGCGGTAAAGGTGAATTATGTAACACTTACTAATAAAAGTAATACGTATTCGACATCATCGCCTCAAGAAATAAATATATAATAGATATATTTTTAAACATTTGTTTCTTAATATAATAATCATTTCATCTATTCATCTTGTGTGAACGGTCAAGTAGTTCATAAGATACAAGATACACAAACTGTAAAAAGTTATCTCATAGATTTAACCATTTTTTCTTCTACGTTAATATAATCACCGATTGCTAATTTTGTTTTATTTTTATCATATTATTGGTAATTTGATGATCACTAAAGTGTTGTACCGGTTATCACAATAATGCTTTAACTGAGGTACTAATATCCTTACGCCCAAGTTATTTTATTACTTAAAACTTCGTACCCACTGATAACATTAATTATTTTTAAGGCCAATCGCAAAATTCAACGAAAGATGAAGAAAGTAGTATTAAAAGAAGTATTAAATAATTATAGAAAGCTTTGGAAAATTCTGTTTACAAACAGGCAGTCTATGGTATCCACGATGAAACGATTGAGTTTTTTTTTCGTAAATGATGAGTCAATGTTCTCCTTGCGATATTTACCACACACCGATCTTTCCCACTTCGTTTTTCTATCTGTAGAATGACTATTGTTATTTGTTTTTAACCGATGTCAAAAAAAGGAGGAGGTTTCAATTCGTTTTTTTTTCTATACTTATTCGTCACCTCGTATACCTTCGTATACCTCTGAACTCTGTCATTTAAAAATTGATTAGAAAAATTCTTTCTTTATTTGGGTATATTGTCTATCCATTACTGGAAAAAATACCACTTTTAAAAGTGGAAGATTAAGGAATGGAGACTGCAGTTTATTACAATTAATCATGATGTAGGCGCGTTCACGTCAGTGATACTTTTTTTAAAGTAAATCGTGAATCTTACCTGAAAGACACCTAATGTTAATCTAGACACTTAATATATACATGTACATTGTAATAATATTATCGTCGGTAGTATAGTTCGCAAAGATAATTAAGGATATTGCAGGTATCTTTACCACAAAGGAAAAACATTTTCTACTTAAGTCTTGGTAATATGAGTACTTATTATTTTAAACGCAACAACAATAATGTTGAAATGCTTTATAATACTTGTAACACACTGTTTTATATTTTTGGAAATTGAAAATTATTAAATTAGACGAAGTATTGTCAAATTTACCGAATACCCTAAAATTACGAGTCTGGCTCTTTTTTTTTAATATGTAAAACCATTCTGTACAAACTTGTGTGTTCGTCCATCGATTCGGAATCGATTCTAAAAGATTTTTGACCACTAATAGTGACTGGCAAGCTTCACTTTGTCCACTACATGGATATAATTATTTTTTATGTAAAAGCTCCCACGGGATATCATCTATCATCTTATTGGCTAAAGGACTTAATATTTTTTATTTACTTGTGCCTCGTGAACTTGCTTGTCGCCGAATGTTATAATATTATGCCATCGGTAAGTTTATAAACTAACAAAATAAAGTATTTAGGGCCTACTAAAGTAAAAGTACTTTTAATAGACTAAACTTTTAAAATGCAACAACTGGAAGCTAATTTGACTACACTAAGCTTGGTTACTGAGTAATCTTTTGATACACACATACTACATCTCCTGTTAATAACTTTAATGTTTTTAAGAAGGTGAATAAATTAAGCCAATATTAAAATTGTTTGAAATTTTTGCAAGATAATTATGTCAATTTTTGAGTGATTGGTGTTAAATTATTTTGATAAGCAAATACTGAATAAAGACATAAAACTAAATAAAAAGTTAAGTACTATTTTAATATTACCTATAACTATAGAATAATTCACCTTTTCTTTTATCTGTAGTATGGTGAATTCCAATCAATTTTATCACGATCCTAACATTGATAAGAGATAAGAAGCAAGGATAAGAATATGTAATGTATTTACAATATTTTGTATGATGTTTATGTGATGAATAAGGAACTAGCTAATACTAATTACATTTAGTAAAATACAGTTGACCCAGTTGACTTTACTCTATAAAATGAATGGTTAAACTGCATCTGAGCTTATCCTGGCATGAAATATTTTAGATTAAATTTCCATACTGTTCCCATTAGTAGTTGTAGACTAAAAAGTGATAATTTTAGTTGTTTTATGTAGCCAAATGTTACATTTATGTAATGTTTGTTAAAACATCACAGTATTACTACTTTTAAAAAGCAAATATGGAAACAGCCTCCTCAGGCAAATATAGAGACAGGAAAAGAGAGTGCTTTACAAATGAAAACTAGGGCAAACTTACCAAACAGATTAGGAGCATTGGCTTCCTCCCATATGCATCTGATAGGCTTCCAACAATAGGACTTGTTAAAAATTGCAAGAAACTGTACATAGATCCAAGAATGCCCCCAAATAATACGGACGAAAATCTGTCAGGAGCACCAGTGAACTTTTGGAAACTTTGGACTGCTTTTAGTAATGCAGCATATAAACTATTTCCATTGCCTTCTTCCCTGTCGTAATAGTCAAGAAGTGATGGCAGAAGAGGTAAAATCATTGTAAAAGCTAACAAATCCAATAGTAACGAAACAAACACTAATGCTATGGTTTTTGTATTTCGTTTTGTACTTTTATCACATGTCGTAACAGTTGGTTCATAAGAAGTTTCATCATTTTTAGATAATACATTCCCAATTCTCTGCCTAAGTTCGCCGTTGCCCAGAAGATCCTAAAATATTATTAAACAAAAATAAATCAAATGGATTCACAGTTAGTGTTTATATTAAATATTTGTATGAAAATATACGTACCATTGTTTTAAATTATATAAACTATACTGATTACGAAAATGTTCACTAAATAGCAACACGCCATCGAGCTAAATAACAATATCAAACTGCGGGCAAGAAACAATTTCCAACATACTTTCACTTCTTGAACAAGTTGTTGACAAGTAGTGTATAATGATAAAATTAAAAATAAGGTGTTTTTCTAAACTTCTTTCGGAATTTTATGCTTTCCAATTTTATTGGGTTATATTATTTATTTTGACATTTGATTTAATAGTGTTACCAAACTCTAACTAATTTAAACTACCGAAAAAATTGAAATCGGTAGATCATTATTCTCCCGATTTTTTAAGTGTTTAAAAATCCTTAGTATAATATTTAGTAAAAGATGTAGAATTCATAAAATGCTAATGTCAATAAAGAATTTAAAAAGTCCTCATCGATCCGACACCTGGCTAATATTTTAATAGGTCAAAGGTTACAAAAACGTTTTTTTTTCAGCAAAACGGCAAGTTTTATCTTAAAATTAGCCGAGATAAAAATTGTAGATCAGATAATTATCTAAATAAAATGTCTAATTACTTTTTATCCTAAAAGATCCCGTTTTTGATATAACGATTCAGAAAGTTGAAAGAGTTGTAATCGTCATAATATGCACACGTTTTTGTGACCTTTCGGATGTGTGATAAATTATTTTCCAGGTGTCAGATCGATGAGGACTCTTTACATTTCATTTATATTGGTGTTTTAAGCAATTCTACCTATTATCAGCTGGGTGCAAATTTTTTGTAAAATCGGATGTCTAAATTGAAAGGACAATTGTCTTATATTATAACTCCCTCTTTATGTAGAGAGCTACATAAATAGGAAGAATATAACATGTATTTCGTTCAAAACTATTTGAAACGATAGTGAAATTTATGAAGTTACTCGGTTCTTAGTTTCACGACTTTTTCAGAAGAAGTCAATATACTCGTATTCAAAACTTGTCTTCAAAAAAGTTGAAAGTGATTATGGCGGAATATGGCGTCGCCAATCGCCATTTTGCGTGGAAACATATTTCTTAGGCTTGTGTTAGGCGAGAAGCGATTTTATAAATTTAAATACAAAGTATAAAAAATGGGTGAAGACAAAGGTAATTAACAGTTCAAGCATTGAATATAATCCTTATTATGAATATCGTTAGTTTTATTGTATATTGCTTGTTTGTAGATCGCCGACGCAGATCACGCTCAAGGGAGAAACGGCGTTCTAGATCTCGTTCCAGAGAGCGTCGTGAAAAGAGAAAAAGCAGATCTAGATCTCCAAATAAAAGGTCTCGCAGACGCAAGCCTTCTCTGTATTGGGATGTCCCTCCACCGGGATTTGAGCATATCACGCCGCTCCAATACAAGGCTATGCAAGCCGCTGGACAAATACCAGCAAATATTGTCGCGGATACGCCACAAGCTGCAGTGCCAGTCGTCGGTTCGACCATAACGCGGCAAGCGCGTAGGCTGTATGTAGGAAACATACCGTTCGGCGTCACTGAAGAAGAAACCATGGAGTTCTTCAATCAACAAATGCATCTCTCGGGTTTGGCACAAGCGGCTGGTAATCCTGTGTTGGCTTGTCAAATAAATTTGGATAAGAACTTTGCATTCCTTGAATTTAGATCTATAGATGAGACAACACAAGCTATGGCTTTTGACGGTATAAACTTTAAAGGACAGAGCTTGAAGATTCGACGGCCACACGACTATCAGCCTATGCCTGGTACTGAAAACCCAGCTATCAATGTGCCAGGTAATTTTACAGCTTTTATGTTATCATCTTGAATAAACTTTATGTTATTATGAAATTGAAGAAATTAAAAAATTAACATCTAAGCTATTGTAAGTTGTGAACGAGATACTAAAGTCAACTATTAGAAGGAGATACTAAAGTCAATATATTTTTGATTGCAGTTATTTGTCATTCTTGTTTTAAGACTGCAATGTTAGCATACATTTTTCCATCAATTTAATATAGCTTTGGTTAAAAGACATCCTACCTGAATTAAAAAGTATTTGTTAGGTAAACAGGCAATATGCAATTTGAAGAATATAAGGCACAAATTGAGCTAAAAACTCTAAAATTTATATATTATTGTAATATTTTAGTCAATAAAACAAAATATATGTTTCATTCCAGCTGGTGTGATTAGCACAGTAGTTCCAGATTCACCTCACAAAATATTTATTGGCGGTTTGCCCAATTATCTCAATGAGGACCAAGTAAGTTGCCGCTATTAAGCAATAAGTATAATATAATTCTGTGACACATTGATTTGTTGTTGGACTAAAAGAGTAAATTGCATACTATTGGTGCTATGAATATAAATTTTCCTAAACTCTTCACAGTTCAGTGTTTCACAGTTCATTATCATAATAAGGTATATGTACCTATTATAATTGTTAACATTGAAGGCTGATATTTACAAATAATTAAAGTTATTTTCGGTTTGGCAATCTATTCGAGAAGATAAATGTAGGGCCAAAATGCAATACAGGCAGTATTGCATTTTGGGCCTACATTCATCTTTATCAGTCACATAATAAAATATATAACATTATACTTCAGAAAAATATAAAATCAGGCTATTTTGAGAAATAAGCTTTTGGAATAAAATATTTTACTAGCCGTACTGATTCAAAAAAATTATGTTTTGCAGGTCCATACTGCGACTACCTCTCAGTATTCTTACACACATCTCTTTAGGATCTCTCACGTTTTTCTTATAGATATACCTTGACACCAGCATTTTTGTTGTTTTAATTATAATTGAATATATACTATGTTTAACTGTTTAGGTCCTTTTTAACATGAAGCATGGTTATGGTATTATAGTTATCACTTTGGTGTAATGAGAAATCAAACATGTAAGTCATTCATACCATAATTTTAAGCAAGAGGGCTGCTTTAAATTGCACACACATGAACGTTCCCATTAGGTAGCATTAGATGCCGCAGCCATTTCAGGGCGAGATTCAACAGTTGACAGGGCTACGGTGGAGCCAGCAGTGAGCCGCGTTATGTTTTGGTCCGTTTCAGGTATTTTACAGGTACCCTAGCGGGGATGAGCGTGCGCTTCACGCTCTATATATTCTGAAACAACTCACTGATATAGTTTGCTTTCTGCCCCTTCCTAGCTTAGATTTGGCACATTCGCGGCCCGCGTGTCACTGTTGTCTCTCATTCTCACCTATACGTCTTGTACTTGAATGAGACGTCGGCACTTCAAGGCAAGTCCTCCATTCACATGTGATTCTAACACGCGGCTAGACACAGGTCAGATAACATTAATTAATATGTTTGCTGCCTTTTGTTAAGCAAATGTAAAGGGAACTCTAAAAAATTGTGTGTAACGAATATACTACTTACGATATTATGGATACCAAAAATTTTTTATTCAGTGTCAAGCAAACCATGGCTGAAAACTCTATGTACTGATTGTGTTTTGTATGTGACAGGTAAAAGAACTGCTGATGTCATTTGGACAACTTCGAGCATTCAATTTGGTGAAAGATTCATCTACAGGACTTAGTAAAGGTTATGCCTTTGCAGAATATGTTGACATTTCTATGACCGATCAGGTAAATTCGGTAGAAAAATATTGATCATTTTATTGTGTTATGTTTATTAATATAATATTTTAATACACAACTTTAAATGTTTGTTGACAGGCTATTGCAGGTCTCAATGGGATGCAGCTTGGTGATAAGAAACTCATTGTTCAACGAGCCAGTATTGGTGCAAAGAATTCTACTTTAGGTACTAATTCAAACTATAATATTATAAAAGTAAAAACTCTGCTAGCTGGTAACTGACACCAATTCAGACATGAATATAAAACTTTGAAATTAATAAAATTACCTAATTTTAAATTAAAGGTTAAGAAATAATTGTTGATTATGATTGATCACAGCAATGACCGGAGCAGCGCCAGTACAGCTGCAAGTAGCAGGCCTAACGCTGGCGGGCGCTGGACCTCCTACAGAGGTTTTGTGTCTGCTCAACATGGTAACACCCGACGAGTTGCGTGATGAAGAAGAGTATGAAGACATTCTGGAAGACATCAAGTATGTTTGCTACTCAAATCCTATTAGAAATAAAAATGATGACTGAATGACTTTTGTAAACAATTAACACAGACATAAGCACTGACAAAAGTAGCACTTGATTGCAAAATCTATTACTACTTTTGCTTGGCCATCCTGTGGATATGCAACATGATAAAAAATCTCATTTTGTACAATGGACTTAAGTCACTTTGGTCATGTCAAGGCCCATTTTATGAATTGTCTATTATTAATTGCCTACAATGTTAGAAAGATAATGTTAGAATTTTAATTAATGTCGCGTTTTACTTTACAGGGAGGAGTGTAACAAATATGGCTGTGTTCGCAGCATAGAAATTCCAAGGCCCATAGAGGGTGTTGAAGTACCAGGTTGTGGAAAGGTATAAAAATATTCACGTTAAATAAAATATGTACTTTAGTTCCTAAAGCTGACTTTGATTAATATATTTTCGAATATTGCAATTTTAAAATTTAGCTCCATAAATATTTATTTATATAGCTATTTATGTAATTTAAATTTACCAAGTCAAGCTAAAATGTTTATGGTCACTGATCCACTTCTAAGGAGGACATAGCGTGATATTAATATATCTATAAAATACAAAAATATAATAATTGTTCAAATAAGGATTAAATAAGACGCTTAATAATTTTTAAGAATAATTTTAGTAACATTTCTAAATTTCTATTACTTCTTGCTAGAGCACTATAAAATGCTGTTTTACACCTGTAATTAATGATTAGGCTAGTGAATGTTAAATCTAATATGTCCTGTAAATATTAAATAAACTGTTGATGTCTCAATATAAAATAAAAAATTTCAGAGATTAAGGTTTCAAACAATCAAACAGATAAAATATGAAGCTTTAATATATTACCATTATAATTATTATTGTGCTAGTGCAGATAGTCAAATACCTTTGTTTTCATTTTGTGATGCCATGTTAATAAACATAATTTGTTCCAGGTATTTGTAGAGTTCAACAGTATTGCCGATTGTCAAAAGGCACAACAAACTCTTACGGGACGCAAGTTCAGCAATCGCGTCGTCGTCACTTCATACTTTGATCCCGATAAATATCATCGCAGAGAATTTTAATTTATCTTCCTAATTACTTCATACAATCTCAACCCTAATCCATTGAATTCGATTGTATAATTAATAAATGAAATAAATTATAATATCTAAAATGTTTTATTACCATTACAAAAATATAATGTAAGATACCATTAACAAAACTAAAATATAACTTGGTGGTTTTTGTAAATAATATAAACTAGATCTTGATTCAATTTAGCTCCCTATGTTCTTACATACAAATAGTAATAAGTTTAAAGTTTGACTGGCCTGTTGGTCTAGTGGTTAGCGACCCTGACTGTTAAGCCAGAGGTCGTGGGCTCGATCCCACCCATGGCAAACAATTGTGTGATGAGCACGATCAGTTGTTCTGTGTCTGGGTGTAATCTAACTATAATAGGTATGTATGTATTTATAAATATATAAGTATGTATGTTTATAAGCAGTCTGCTTAGCATAGTACAGACTGCAATTACAATCGAGGCTGGTTTCTAATAATCTAGACACTTTTTTAAAGAAAAAAATAGGTATCTAGACACCTAGTGTAAAATAATAACTTTGTAATTCACTTGTCTATATTATTGTATTATTGTTGCTGTTACTATTATTGTAATACAAAGTTACCGAATCGAGTAGTTTTTTATAATCTTATATTTATTCTTATTAACTCTAGAAACATGGGATTTAGACATCTTGTTGCATCGCCGGCTGGTAAGTGTTCAGTGATCCTGTCTGAGCTGAAAGGACTAACTTCCTCATGACTACGTAGAGTACTCCACCGACAACTAGCATACCAATACCGGCCATTAAGCTAATAGCCCAAGCTGGGACAGCGTTACCACCTGGAAAAAGATAATGGAAAAAATATAACGACACAAAATATACGTTCATAATACTTTTAATTGTAGACAATTCAACTGGTTACATTCTTTAGAACTTTGTTTCGCAAGAATAAAACATCATAACTTGAAATTAAATAAGTACCTATTCTTTTGATGTATTAGGAAATTATTTAGCGTAGGTGCACTCCACGGTTCTTTTTAACTGAAAAAATGGCTGTTACGAGGGGGAGTCAAAAGTTCGCGGAATGGAGGGTAGAAACGAAGAAACAGAACACAAATTTATTTTTCCTTCTCAATGTATTCTCCCTTAACTCGGATACATTTATTAGATCTATCAATTTATTTATATATACCCTTTTTTTTTGTCTTAATCGTCGAAATTGTGCTCTTCACCTCATCGTTAGAAAATTTCTTTCCTCGAAGCTCTTTTTTCCTTTTTGGGGACAGATAATAATCACATGGCTATATCTGAGCTACAGGGAGGATGTGACAGGATTTCGAACCCCACTCTTTGTACAGCAGTCACCACAATATGCGCCTTGTGCATGTCGGTGCATTGTCGTGCGAAAGGAACACCTGTTTGGTCAATTTTCCCCGCCTTTTCTCCCTCACAGCATCTCGCAGACATTCTAGTAGTGCAGCGTAGTACTCTCCAGTTATATCGACACCATTTTTTTTGTAGTCAATAAGAAAGATGCTCTTCGTATCCCAAGAAACAGTGGCCATGAGTTTTCTGGCCGATGAAGGCACTTTGAATTACTTCAGCGGTGGTGTGCCCTTTTTGTGAAACTGCATGGAGTCCTATTTGGACTCAGGCTCATAATGATAAATCCAAGTTTCATCTCAAATCACAATCCGGCCTAAAACTTCGTCCTTGACATGCCATTGCTTGGTGATAGTGTAGAATGTTCGAAACGGTTGTAGCTGACACTCCGATCATTTCTGCAAGCATTTTTTCAAGTTTATCAGCGTTTTCTGCCGTGGTCGTCTCGACAGGCCGCCCTCGCCTCGGATTATCTTCAATCGAATCCCTGCCTTGCTTGAAGAAGTTGTGCCATTTTTAAACAATGATTTTACTAGGACAAGAGTACCCATAAACAGAAGACATCTCTTCCAAAATAGTCTGAAGAGGTTTTCTTTGCTTGGTAAGGAAGTTAAAGACTGCACGAAACTCAATTTTCTTAATGTTTCAATTTTTTGCCCGGATTGACTTTTTATTAAACTGTATCCCAGTAAATAATGACCTGATTTATATGAAACTTCGTATTTAAACCCTTAAAGAGTGTCACAACTAGTGCAGGTCCCAAAAAAGTGACCGTTTCCCCCTCCATGCCCCCATTTTTTGATCCGAGACAGTGATCCGTATGCAAACAACTAATCTACTGTTCTCTCTTTTCAGCCAGAATACTTTTGCAAGCTTTAGGACCTCTTATATTATTTCGCGATCCTGCTTGTCCTTAGTTGAAAATATACAATATACCTACATAAATCTAAAAGCATCTTTAAACGTGCTGTTAAGAATCTGTAAATTATATTAAGTAAGTAATTCACGTTGTCATAAATATGATTCATGTTCCTTTGTTTATGTACCGTGTTCCTTTGTTGGGCATAGCGAAATATACCTACATAATACCTACTAGCCACTAGTCTCATTACTCATGACATAATGAGGGTCATTGCATTGATCAAGATATTTATTCTGTAGACGGGAACTATACCCAACGAAAGTTGGGAAAAAGGAGGTAATGGGAGTCACTTAAGCAAGAATTAATATAAAATACAAAACATGTGTTTAAACTTTATGAAAATCAACACTTATGGTAGTTTAGTTATTGTACTATCAGCCTTAGATAGTTTCGTTACCTTTGGAATAACATGTTAATAGCTATTAAACTTGAAAAAAAAACTATGACCACCATTGTCCACATTTGAGGGTAATCATAGTCACTAAGGGGATAATGAGAGTCTGCCTAGATTAACAATTGTTGCATACGTAACCTCATGGCAAATCCCATCTTGAGCAGTTTGCACGTGCCCACAATCCGTGAGAAGTGCACCTACATTGTACCACAAATTAAAGTTGCGACAGCCAAAGTCATCACCTATTTAGCAATTAACGAAATCGTCGGCATCACCTATCTGATTAAGCTATTTTAACCGGTCTACTAGAACTTTTTGTATCTCTGCTATGAATGCAGGTAGTCGACGTAGATGTGGTTCCGATGAATATTTTTGTTTTGACTGCTGTTGGAAAGTTAAAAAGTGTAAATACAAGGATTTACCAGCATCCCTCATACAGTGGCCTGGACTCATGAGTTCTTCTGCTTTTGATAGTGGGATAGCCAACCACTAAACTTTATTTGTTAAATAGGGCGTATTTTCGGTCTTTTTGAAATAATGACAATTAATGGCAATGGGTACTCCCATCTGCCGCATTGCGGTGACTCTTATTGCCCAATCATACATAATGTGTAAGAAATGAACACAATTTTTTTTGGTCATTAAAACTCAAAAAAAAAAGATATCTTAATAGATTGAAGATATTGATAATTTAGGCTCACAGGCGCACAAAAAACTACTCTAAGTACTAATATTTATTATAAAAATGTACCTTTCAATTATTTTGTGTACCCGTAAAATTGCATCGAAAATGCCGAAAGTGTGCGGCATCCTTAATTTGTGAATTATTGACACGTACTAAACGAGTATTCGGAGGATCTCGAGCTGTCTCCTAACGAATCTTTTAGGATAAAACTCGTTTCTTTAGGTGTTTTTGTTTAGATGTTAGAACGTTGACCACCATTGCTTACCGACTTCCACGGTCCCTTTTCCCCCTAAGTTCCTCTATAATTTGGGACGAGACTTCACCAGTCACATATAAAAGTACTCAATGAATGAACTGTAGGTACATAACACATCCGACGCACCAGCAATGCATGATATAATTACTTGAATACCTACCTAACACAAAAATTTGGATAGTTACTTACGGTAATAAGTCCGTGTCATCACACGTCTACCTCGCAGAATCCTACGCCGGGCTTCGGTTTCTTGTGTGAGAGTACTTAGGATAACTGAAAAAAAAGTGTTCAACTTCGTTCAATCGTCCAATTTTAAATGTTAGTACAAAACTAAACATGCTGAAAATCGCATCCCATTCTAGGTACAATTAAGCAATTATTTATGTACCTATTGGATATAGTGGCCCTGAAATCAGTATAAATATAAGTTTTTTTAAACACCCTATCCTACACACCACATACCTTTATACAAAATTTCTTTTTCTCTACCCATGTCCATGGTGACGAAATGAAAGGCACTGTGTGTTATTACCGTGATTCAAAGATAGTTTAAGGATTAATTACGTTTATGTTTACGATATATACTTTTCCGTTTTCACAGAATTAATAAAAAACTATTCAATTTGTAATTACTATTAGAGTAACGAAAGCAAGCAAGCATGGAATTATTTTGTCACTCTCTTTTACAATTTCGAAAAGGGGAGAATTGCCAACTTTCTTTTCTTAAACTTTTTAACTGTAGTGGTCTAGATAATGGTGACTGACATTTATTAATGTTTTTGTACTTAATAAAGGCACTTATAAATGAAGCGCACGGCTATTCGTACTAAGTATCTAAGTAAGAAAAAATAAAATGTCTTTACTGGTCTTCTGTGGGTTGGAGTCTACCTTATGTAATTCCAATGATTGATCAGTGACATATAATGTTTTTTCTATTACCTACCCACTTTCACATGAAGTCGACTTACCTAAGGGAAAAACTTAAGTAGATACTACTACAAAAACTCATTACTTCCTATACAAGTCGACCACATACACTTGCAGCATATATTAGGTCTTTACCTATGAAATTGCCGTTTTGTATGCAATAAGTGAAAGTACTTATTTTTTCAAACTTTTTTATTTCTGTTATTCGAAGTAATCACCTATGCTATCGACGCATCTTTGCCAACGCATTGGCAGTTTATTGATGCCCTTCTTGTAAAAATCTGCTGGACGGGAGGCAACAAACTCTTCAAAGGCATTTTGTACTGCCTCTCGGGCATTTAATTTTTTACCCACTAAAAAGTTGTCTAAATTTTGGAAAAAGTAATAGTCGGTAGGTTCAAGGTCTGAACAATTCCTGAACTCAAATCAGAGATCCAACGCGTCATCTGTCGTCGTGTAAAGTTTCATGAAATTTCCCATGACTTTTACAAGTCATGGGAAATCCAATAAAAATATCACAACTCTTTCATAAAATACGTCACATCACGTAAATAGACACCTTTATAAACAATTTCATGTAATGGAAAAATTATATTTTCTGTTCGTCACAGGGTCAATTTTTCTGTAAAACACCCAAATACAAGGAATTAGACCCGCCGCACTCCCGTCCGACCCCCCCCCCCCCCCCCCACCCCCGGTTTATGTGTGTTGCGCTTAAAGGTTAGTAAGTCACTCTATCGTAAATTAAGTATATAGACACAGATTTTATTAACTTTGTTATGTATGGGCTAGTTTTTTAAGGGCAATTCTATCAAGTGTAAATTTTACGCAATATAAAACAATGACAACTATCGACAAATACTGATAAAGAGCACAAAGAGAATCTTATTTTAAACAGCTCCTTATAGTAAAGCACTTACCTAAAATAATAGCAAAGTAAAACCATAGTGACCTCCTGTTCGCCATTGTATTTCACTTTGTTTTTGTAATTAGGGCACTATATAATGAAAATCACTACGTATTAAAGCGAAACGGATGACACACTAAAACACAACAGGTAAGGCGTGTTCTTGAGCGCAAATTCTTATCAAAAATAGATAAGATAGCGCGATGATTAGTAATATGTATATACATTGAATGTGAAATCTAGTAAGTAGGTACTGAAGAACGAAAATATGTATCAAATGAGTCAGAACTTTAAGGGCACAATATTTCTATGAAATGTATCTAAGATTATGTATTGGTGTTTCCTTTTTAATATTCTTTTCACGCGTCATTGGTAATCTATACGTGGGACACTCAGAAAGTTATGAGAAACTAAAAAACAATGTATTTAATATATTTTTTAATCTTTTCACCTCCAGCAATGTAATACACATACAAAGTAAGGCAGAGTGTAGCCAGTCGCCACGCTACTTCACGCCAATATATATATTATTTGTATCTTTGTTTTTGTGAACATGTAGTACTTACCTATATGTTTACAAAAACAAAGATAGTTTCTGAAAAAGAAGTGATGTACATGCTTTTAATACCAGAAATAGAAATAAACTTCTTGTACCTGCTTCTAAGGCTTTAGGCTCCAATAGATAATCAAGTTATTCCGAGGTCAATGTTGCCGATTTTATAATAAAATCTCAAAAACGTAACCACGTAAGTATAAATAAATTTAAATCCACAATAAAACGTAAACTATGGCAGAAGGCCTATTACTCAATTGTGGCTTACATAAAAGGCAAGAATGATTGGGATTAATTAAGCACAGGCTTTTTCGTAGTGTGTTTGCAAGGAGGCGCGGGAGTTGGGTCGGTGTCCCGAGATTCGAGAAATCGATGACCGGAAAGCCCAACTCCGCCAGGTTATCATAGGGGAGTGTAGGGAACGACTCGGGCAACCGAGCGCCGGGCACGCCGTCATCGCGGCGGTAAGACCCGTTATGGAGGATTGGCTCGAGAGGCGTCTCCGTGTCTCAAACCGTGGACACGGCTCTCCACACGCTGGCAGAGTGCCCGGCGTGGGTTGAGCAGAGGCGAGACCTCGTGGCGGCCATCGGAGTTGGAGTTCCGCCAGGCCCGGGAACGGGCAGGGAACCGCAGGCGACTCAGGCGCTGGAGGTCGCAGAACGACCTCCGTCCTCCATAAGCGCAGGCCTGGGGGTGACAGGTGACGCCATCTGTCACCCTAGCAGAAGCTGGCTTCCAGGGAGCAGAGGGAACATAGGGTTCCCACACGGGGGGGGGTCGTCAACTCGTCTGTAGATGGCCCGAGGTATGTCGGGGCACCAGGGACTTCCTTTCTAGGGTATACCTGGTTCCCCGGCTATTAGTACCCGAGACGGCGTGCGGTTTTAGTCGGTTCGAGTCCGACATGCCACCGATAGGTGGTATCCGAGGGGATTTCCGCACGGAAAAAAAAAGGGTATTTGAGATGTGGGCTAATGTGTTTTTTATGATTTTTTTCAATTTTTTGTTTTATTTAACTTTCCTTTTACCTTTTAGTCCTTAATAAGTGACATACTGGCACAAATCGAAACAATGTTGTGCTATATTTAATGATGCCATTGCATCTATCTGTTAATTTAAAAAAAATGGCAGTTTCTTTGGCCTTGGTTTATCCTCTTGGAAACGGCCGTATGTAGATCGGCACAGGCATATAATAGATATTCGATACGTAGGATTTATTTTGCTGGTTCGATGGTTGGCTGGTTTGGTGGTTCGAAAATACCTAAAGGAGAAAAAAAACTTTAAGGATTGTCTCTCTATAAGGGTTTAGCATCTATACTTATATTATAAATGTGAGAGTTTCTTTGTTACGCTTTCACGCCTAAACTACTAAACCGATTTAAAAATTTCTTTCACCAAAAAACTACATTATCAGCGAGTAACATAGGCTACATTTTGCTGCGATAACCGACATACATAGGCGGGCGGGCGGTCGGAGCCGCAACTAAAAGCTACGAAAAAATAAAAAACACTACATTATTTAAATAAATAACTTTATTTATATTATCATCTACATCTAAAAAGAACACTAATCGAGCACAGGATCACTCTTTGAAAATATTTTTGATGTCAGCTTCAGCAAGAACTTTTGCAGTTACAGAATCCTTGTTTTTAGGGATGACTTTCGTAGCTATTTCTGCTTGGCGCTCGGTACCTACTGCCTCTGCAGATTTATTAATTAACTCTTCTTCAGCCACACCTTCAGCTTTTAACTTTTGGTGTTGTTGTATTAGTCGTTTAGTTGATGTTTCTATAGGACTAGTCAGATTAACAGCTGTTAACCCATGTCCTTGTGAATGAAATTTACTGTAATAAAAAGTTTATTTCTGTTTACATTGTTTTAGCTAATTAAAATTGTACAATGCTATAGAGTTTTGCATGTCACTGACAGTAATCTAAATTTTCTTTTACCATTAAGTTAGCAAACAAGCACATGGTACATGTATTGTGCTTTGTTGGTTAGTGTGTTGCTGATATTGAGCAGTTCAGATTACATTCCCATCCAATAATGCAGCAAAATAACACCATGCTTTATAAAGGCCCTACTCTTTGAAATTCTATTTTAGTGCAGTTTTTTTTAAGATAAGGAATTTGCTCTTATTTGACTGTGGCAATTAAGTGCCAATATAGAAACCTTAAAACCTCAACTATACAAATCACATCATACTTACGCTCTAATTGTATCTTCAGGATAAAGAATTTGTCTGATGGGCTTGACCTCTGGTTTCGGTTTAGCAAATTTAGGCTCTGTGATTGGTGGAAATTTTCTATAGACATCAAACCAGAGTGGTCTATCATCAGCTCTCATTGCTCCTTTTGTGAGTAGGCCTTCAACACTGCAAGCAATAAAGGTAAAGTGTAAAAATGTATTAAGACAATGAAATTATTATGTAGGTATAAAACATAAAAAAAAGGTATGTATCACTATATATATATATATATATTTATTCTTTTTTCACTTTTTGAATGTACACCAATAATAAGCCACAGCATGCTATGCTGCATGGTATAAGTTGTGAAGGGACAATTTTTTAGTAATATCAATATATCATTATTACTACAGATGAGACAAAGGCTGATTTTGTCAGGTTTTAAGTTTTACTATTCAGACTACTTAAAACACTCACTTAGTCAATATAAGAAAAAAATATATATTTATAAGTTATGTTTAAATTTAATGGGAATGGAAATGGGAAAGAAACAACATTTTTTTTTCCAATTTATTTAAATAATAATCATACAAAACTGTAATTAATTCAAAATTAATATGTATGACTATTTAAAAATCATTTTGCATTGCATGAAAAATAGTTCTACGCAAGTTTTCCCATCCACTTCTTTTAGTTTCAGAAATTAATTTCTGTTGAAGTTTTTGTATGTCATCTTCTAATTCCTCTGCCAATTTATCACTCTCTGCTTTATGATCAGACTCCATCTCTTCACATCTAAATAAAATGAATGACAGATTAGTGAAATGTTTGAAAAGATTTAGTAATTAACAAAAATAATGAGTTATTACTGTTTCTTAAATGAAGTGTAAATATCTTTCAAAGATTTCAACTTTTGTTTATGAGCTATTGTCGCTTGTTGCATACATTTTACAACAGCTCCGGTTAAATGTTCTAACTTCTTTTCATTGTCTTTCATAGCATTACAATCAGCTTCCAACTGCAACATGACTTCAGACAAGTTTTTAAGAAGATGATCACTTCTTTCTTTTCTGCAAATAAAGATTAAAATAAACTAGCATGACCAACATTATAATCATCAACACTACAGACTTAAATTCTTACCTTAATTCCTGTTGGTGATTCATGACATCTAATATTTTCTGACGAGACTCTTTGCAAGCTTCTACATTTACTTCTAATTTCTTTTTCTTGGCATTAATTTGATACTGTCCAATTAAATTGGTTATTCCTTCTTCATCAGTCATATCACAGGTAACATTTCTTGAACGCTTTTGGGTTTTTTTATTACTTGGAGGATCTTTTAAAAACTGTGAGTCATTTAACAACTCATTTAAATCTCCCGGAATAAATTTGGGTTTTCCACTTTTCTTCGATGTCATTTTTGTATACTTATCTTTAATTTATCCAAAATACTTTGACCGTACTTGTAAGTCGGGTTAACTTTCCCGCTAATATTTACCTCGCAAAATGTAATTTAATATTAAAAAAAAAGTATTTGGTTTTTATAGGGTCTATGCAAAATAAAAAAAATCATAATGCAACTTGACTTACCGAGTAAAAATAGTGCCTATTCTTTCAAGTCGACTGTTTGCCATCTTGATTTAACGTATTTTGTTAATTGTTTCGAATAAAATTCTTTCATTAAATAAAGTTACTGATACTAACTCGTTTACTTTGTTTTCATTATGAATTCTTATAACCTCAGCAAATTAATAAATATGACCGATGTAGTTTGTTATTTTTGGTTAGAATTGGTCAGTGTTACCATTGTTGATTCGATTTAATTTTACAGTAAAGAATAGGATATCAATTTAATTATTAATCATTTTAGTGTAAGTCTAACCACATAATTATAATCAAGATTCAATGTTTGGTTTGATCGTGTTAACATATAAAATATGAGGTGCCTCACACCAGTGTGTTCCGTTGCAGCCCGGCCACAGTCGATTTCGTAATTTATAGACGTATCAATTAAATGTTCTTTTATTGTACTTGCTGTACCAGTTAATAGATTAAAAGTACCACAAATATATGTTGTTTAAAAAGAAATTGTTCGAACGAAATTCTGGTAGGATGCTCAAAATGTTCCAAAATATAAACCAAATAAATGTTCCTTTTATGTTCTTTATTTTTTTCAATGAAATAAACCAAGAGAAAGGTATACATAAACAAAAAATGACTTAAAATAAGAATTTGCACTAAGCGCCTGTAGGACTAAAATAGCAATGTAAGTATGTTAGCAATTAAACAATAACAAGATAGATTATTATTATACAATTATTAAAAACCCGTAAATTTACATTATATGCTTTTAAAGACAAAGTAATCAAAATAAATTGTAACTTACAGTATTTAAAAAATTCATAGTATTGTTTTTTTTTTAAGACAACTATACAATTAAAAATTAAAAATAAAATAAAAATATTGTACAATTCAAATTTAACAAAAAATAAACAAATTGAAAAGAAACAAAATACGATATAAAATAAAAAAACTTGAAAAAATATATAAAAAATGAAAAAAATATCTAAAAAATTAATTAAATAATATCTAACCTAGTTTTTTAGATATTTAATTTAATCCTAGATAAATATCTTAACAATTACTTTGTTTATAATAATAATATAGCATGGAGGAAAATACACAATCGTTTTACAAACAAAATGTTTTTTTTCATTACACAATATTATCGGTTTTTCCTAGAGAATTGCTCCTAAAGATATGCATTAGCAACAAAAATTTGTGTACTTTGTACAAAGCCGACATGCTATTCTAGTTCTACAGGCGCTTAGTGACTATTCATTTCTTTGAAATCATTTTTTGTTTATGCATACCTTTCTCTTGGTTTATTTCATTAAAAAAAATAAAGAACATAAAAAGAACATTTATTTGGTTTATATTTTGGAACATTTTGAGCATACTACCAGAAAATATACAGGTGGCCCGGGCTGCAACGTATACGGTGCAGCCCGGCCACAAACAATTTCTTTTTAAACAAGATATATTTGTGGTACATTTAATCTATTAATTGGTACAGCTAGAACAATAAAAGAACATTTAATTGATACGTCTATAAATTACGAAATCGACTGTGGCCGGGCTGCAACGGAACACACCTCACACCACACCTTTAACCTCTTAACCTCCTGTCATTTAGTATGATTTAGTATTTTGCTCTCTTTTTTTCTCTAAATTTTAAAATAATCAAAGTTGTTCGAACGTCATGACCGAAATACAATACAGCTGTGGCAGCTCTTGTCTACTTTTTAAGTCTGTAGGATGTCTATACATACATCCAAAGCCACGTCCAATCGATAAAACTATAAATTTACATTTTTGAATGCATGTATTTTTTTCATTTAGCCAACAATTTCTTGAACAATAGGCAAATATCCCCATCGCAAAATGACACATAATCCTAACACCTCATTATCTTTTGTTTTGGGTTATACAGATCCTGACAAAATTGCCCTCGTAATTATATGTAAGTATACACCGGTAAAACAAAATTTATGTTTCTCTTAAACCAGTGCTTCTCTCCCAACTTCGCAAATTAGCATAAAAACTCATAGTTTTCCGTGTAATAACCACATAAGCCGTGACCCATGTCTCTGTGACTCTCTGACTCGGGCAACATCATTGAAATACCTAGGAGTTATAGTCGATCAGAGTTGCAATGAGGACCACATATTTCGCATCTCACTGGCATAGTCAGGAGATTGATTTACATTTTCAAGCAAATGAGAACAGTTGCAAACACTAAACTTTTAATACAGACCTATAAAGCTCTCTGCGAGTGCGTGATAAACAACTGCATCTGTTCTTGGGGTGGGGCAGCAAAAGCGATAATCACCGATGCTAAACGTGCTCAGCATGCCATCCCAAAAGTACTTTTGTACCTACCGTTTCGACACCCAAAAACTGATCTCTATACACGTACCGAGGTCCAGACCGTTCGTAATACGTATACGTAAAGATACCACCGGGCCGCCATTCGTTACCTACCAAATACAAACAAAAGACGATATCGATGTCCCGTACCAAAGGTTCAATCCAGTTTTGCCCAGCATCACTATGAGTACTTGGCACCGAGCACACCAAAAGCTCTGAGAAATTTAGCAGACATAAGTTTAAGGCATACTTACTTGCGAAACTTAAGGTTATTGACTATGACCAAATGGAATCTCTTCTGCGCAACCAGTTTAAATAAGCGTGAAAGCTAAAGGCATCGGTTGCGCATAAATCCACCCACACACACACACACACACACACACACACACACACTCACACACACACACACGCACACTCGCACACAATGACTTGTACACGTGTGTCCACAAATACATTCTATTATTAAAATTTATATTGTAAAACCATTGTAACTCTAATTAAGGAAGACACTGACTCCTGAGATACAGGTTAATTAACCTAGTTTGGGAGACAGATCACTTATCAAAATGTAACTTTGATGGTTCAATAAACTTGTATGTTTGTTGTCAAAAAAATATCTCTCAGATTGAACGCTCCTACTGATTGGGATGGTATCTCACTCGCTCAGGTCTCTGTTTCGACACCGCTGTATTCCTCACATCACTTAAAATTATTTACCCTATCCATGAGGGTGGAGAAGGCAATTTCCCTAAAAATAACCAACCTATCGCTGTTTTTAATGTAGAACCTAGGTACTCGTATTGGTAAATGCACTAAAAAGAGAAAGGTTGATAAATAGGACATTGGTGTATTACCTTGAGCATCATAAGTTATTGAGTCACCTCACCACAAGAGTTTGGACCTGTAATCTTGTACAGGACTAACTAATCACGTCGTCCGAAGCCTAAACTCTAATAAGAAAATAGTTTTCCTGAACCGAGGTTCAGGAAAACTATTTTCTTATTAGCGAAGCGAAGTCATTCGCCTCCGTTCCTATCTCTACTCTCGTAGGCATGGGCATCGGGGAAAAACTACTATATCTTTTTCGGAGCTATCTAACTAATCGAAACCAAACTGTAAGATTCGATAGTGCGATGCGATGATTCCTATCTATACCGGCAACAAGTCAGTGTTTTCTAAAGGCCCTACTCTGTTCCTGGTGATCCATTATATCATTCGCAGAAGATACAGCTATTACGTTCCAGACAGACATTTGGTCAAAGCTTGAACACTATGCTCAGGTTGAATTGGATACAGCTTTAAATTGAATATGTTCTCATACTCTTCCAGTAAATACTTTCAAAATCATTTTTTTTAATCTATCAGCTTCGCATCTCAATTTCCATTAAAGCACAAAATGGATTCCCACCAAGAAAAAGTCAATCGTCTGAAATCTGATCACAGAAAAAGCGCGCCAAAATAGCCGTGTTTAAATCGTCCCAAAACGATAATGATTTTAATAAAACATTTGCTTAATGGTTTATATTTCGGATGTGTTATTTTTTGCTAATGTAATAACTAGTAGAATCGTAAAATAAATACATACATATTCCCTGTTATCCCAACCTAGATCATGTGGATCATACAAAAAATAACTTGGTATATATAATATTAGATAAAAATCTCAATTTCAAAGTAAACATCAATCTCGTTACTAGTATAGTGTGTAAATTAATATACGTGGGACATACTGAAAGTTCTTAGAATAGCTGATCTATTCTATTATATCTATATATATATTTATTTATATATATATATATATATATATATATATATATATATATATATATATATATTCTATTATATTATATCTATTAAGAAAAGCAGCCGCTCATATTATTATAATTTTTTGACCTGGGAGCTCTTTGGGAATCTAGATTTTTTAATGATTTCATATTTCAACTGTTTTTACATATTGGCGGCAATTTAAAAAGCGTATGTCATAGACCAAACACGGATTTGAATACAGAAAGTTTTCGTTCTATTGATTATAAGGCTGGTTTAAAACTAATTAAACCAATCCGTTTAAAACGGAAGTAAACGATTTTTTCGATTTAAAACGATTGGTGTTGATGACTACGTTTTTCTTAATTATAACTACATTTTCTTGTTTTTACTGAGGTAGGAATATGACGCAGTACTTATAAACTGTGTAAAGGTTTTTTATAAATGTGATATACTTACTGATATTGATAAACTTAGCGGGTTTAGTTCTAGTTGGTCCGTCCGACTAAGCGTAGGTATTACCTACCTAAGTTATGAAAACTCTATTGATAAGTTAAAAACTCTGTGTTGGTATATAAACAGTTTTTTAATTGTTTTCAAAAGATATAAATAATCAATTTGATTCGGTTTAAAACCAAACTCAAACTCTTGGCTGCGTTTGGAAAAGGCGTGGGAGAGATCCCTAAAGAGGAGTGGGCTTAATGCTTCAGATAATGGTTCCATCGCATGCGGCGATGCTTAGAAAAACAATTAAAATATTAACAGGCTTCTACATCATTCCGTTTTCATTTTCTAAAAACTTTCAGTGTGACCCGCGTATATTTTAAAATACTAAGATCAATATCGAGCCCTACAATAATCCGCAACAAATACCTTACTTGCTTGATCACATGTGTTTCCATTATTACGTATTGTATTTCATGTTGGTTGCTGCTGCTTA